GTGATGTGACTATTTTATCTTTCTACTTCGCCTTCTCTTCTCTGACTGTTCACATCGTCGTTTCCGTCATCTGAAATATTATGGCTTGTTTTTTGTATTCATTAGATTTTTTACTGGACACATGTTTCACCCTTTCAATATGACATTACGATTATGTTGTGCTTTATATATGTTTCACTGACAATGCCATTATTTCTCAGTTTTAAGATTGATTCTGTCAGTTAAAAGAGTTATTGAAAACCGTGGAGCTCTGAGCAGCTATCCACTCCTAGTTTTTGACTTCTTAATGGTGTGTTCCAAATCCTTCCCAGCATATTAGCGCCAAGTTATGAGGGCGTGAACGTTACCACTAAGCTTTTTTGCAGGCATACAACCACAGCTTTAAACCATTACCGAACATCTTGACTACTAATTAACAATTTGTATGCATTCAACACAATATTTATTAGAGTTAGGCGTGAAAAAGATATCACTGAAAAAATGTATTTTACTTTTCTGTCTTCTTTCAACATTGATAATAACTTTTCACGACAAGATAATTTACTTAAGTGTATTGAGGTTTCAGTATTGATTTCTCATTCTCTTTTAAACGTCTTAATACGCTGCACCGAAATACTGTACATCGCATGATTTTCATCTTTACTTGTTCGTATAAATACGGAAAATACCTTGTGTCTACTTTTTCCACTTGGGTCCCAATACACAATCTCCTGACCGATAGGTTCAACCTTGAAATGGTGGTCTGGCATACATATCTCAATGAACAAACGAGCTATACTGTCCACAACAATGCTCCTACAGGTCCTAGTATGCCAAAAATGCCGTTTATATCGTGGTAGGCCTAAAAGCAGTTACCAGAGCTCTCATTATTGGAGGTGGTCTATGGGCGAATTCAAGCTGCTAGCCAGCAATGAAATACCAACAGGATGGTTTCACTCCCTGCAGTTTTAGTGTAGGGAGTTTAGAGAAAGTCAACCCCCAAAATCAGAAATCCTTATTTACCTTGAAGTTGCTAGAAACCGGTAGTAAAACCTTTATATCGCCACAACTTCAAAAAACCACTTGAAAAAGACCATGTGTGACTTGCCTCTAGAAGTTTTCTCCTAGGCTCCGAGGTCATGCAGCTTTAATGCTCCTTTTGTTTAAGGTTTTCAAGGAGAAACCAACTTCCACGATGTAGGCAGCTAGAAAGTAACTACCGCCCATACGCTCTCGCAATCACCCAGTAAATATTAATTCAAGCATATGAAGAATGCAGGTGACAAGTTCTAATGAAATACATGAATCCATTAAAGATTCCTTGAGTAACTTTCTTTGTGTCTTAAATTTATAACGGAAAAGAGATACTCGGTATCAATAAATCCTCAGGACAGTTACCTGATCACTGTGAATTCAATGTCTAATTCAACTGAATAACCACCCTCCATGTTAAACTATTATTGAAATATAAGATCACCTAACAAATTCTTGGCTCATTCCGATATATCACTCTTCTATGAAAAGTTATATTTAGATTTTAATGTGGTTTTGTCTAGAAACTACGCCATCATATATCACAATTGTGAACTATGACAGTGCTATAAACTAGCACTAACGAACACAGATAACCTGCTAATTTTCTGAATCAGATAAAGCCATGACTCAGTGTGTATTTTCGATTATTTGAAACAGAGCTAAAACCCTGTGACAGTGAAAGAACTTGATACGTGTCTTAAGTTTTCTGTCATGCTTTCTCCAAATCGAACACGAGAATCACTTTTCTGAAGAGCTTTGTAGATAAGGAAGAATATCCCAAGCATTGTTGGAAATGTCTTCGTCGCAATCATATCCGTCCAAATCATTACTCATTGAAACGTCAGATCAGAATGATTTAGACACACAAGGGCTGTTTCTCTGATTCGTTTCCAGGTAAATCGGTGATTTCTTCTAATTCAGGTTGAAATCTGACCAATTATAGAGGTGAACGAACACTGTCTTAATGATTATTACAGCAATCTATTTTATAAAATATCTTCATTTCATTTCCCGAGATGTTGAAGTTTGAAACATTTGACTTTTAAATGCTCACATTTCTATTTCTTAGTAAATCAAATCAACTTGATACATTTAGTGACAGCAGGCGGTAATCAAGTCCTTTTGTTAAATTATGTAAAGTCCTTTCCAGTAAACCTCAGGAACTGACCACTTATTTGATTCCTGCTTGAAGTTTAAGTTGAATAAGCATCTTTTTTTTCTTTCTAAAGCCTAACACACTTCTTTCACTTATTTTTACTGCGTAAATCACCGAATATACCCACTCAATCAAAGGAAAACAAAGAAAGGTTGAATACATCCAGTTGGAAAACGCGTTCCACCAAACCTAGTTAGCAAAGACAGAACAGAAGTGAGCCTTTAGTTAATGTGTAAAACTTGGACAGTGAGGTAGGATGCAATTCCATATTAATTTATTAGATATATCACACAGTGAAACATTATTTATATTAATATGCGTCTTTATTTCGATAAAAGTTTCTTGCGATGTCAAAGCACTGACAGCCATTTAAGAATTCCTCCCCTTCTAAGAGAATGAATGAGATCAAGACATCTGTGTATAACAAAAGAATTGGTAATATAGAAGATCCAATTCAAAGCTAAGTATCCATCCAAGTACTTTTAACTTTGGCCTTTCTCATAATATCCAGTCTATTTCCTGAGTAAAATCACTTTCAAATAAATATGTTTATTGTCTGTTTCTGTTTTAATCCCTAATTTGGCCCATGATTGGAAATAGTTCTGAAAACTTTTCATCCTAATATGTACGAGCAAATACCATAATTGATGACTTTGTCGGAAAAACAGTGATCAATTATTTTAAAGTTTCAAATATCGATTTTAATGCATATTTGCATCCACTACACGTTAAATGCTGCAGAAAACACATGCTGAGGGCTATTATTATTTGAAAAAATTAAATACTTCACATGTTATAACTAGAATAATTTTTAAACGTAAAATAATCAATATTATTGACAAAATGTCGACTTTAAAATTACTGCTAATTACAGAAGAGACAAACGCTGTTCTAATGAAGGTAATTTGTTTGTGTTGGTTTTTTGATATTTTTAAAACACCACTCGAAGAAATACTTGTTTTAAATAAAATTACCGTTTCTTTGATAGAACAATATTCGAAATAAAAGAGACTTTTATCTTACGGTGAAGATGACAATTGTATGTTGTCATTTGAACTTTAAGGTTTTATCGTAGATATTTAGTAATCAGGCTGGGTGGTCCAAGCTGCTTTTCCATGAAACTCTAGTCATAGTGATCTTACCAAGCCTGCTAACGAATATCTGGCAGTCAAATATTAAAGCAAGTAAAATATGAAATAATTTCTCCACATGAATCAGTTGAAACTAATTTACCTAAGCCTTTGAAAGTTGCAAAAAGATCTAATGTCACAGAAGTTCAGAGAAGTATTAATGGATGGAGCTGTTTCTTTGGCACACAGATTTCCCATTGTTTTACACGAACCCCTGTGGCTTCTTCTGTTTGGCGTGTCCAGTATTTAGAGGTCTTTAGGAGTTCATCCGGTACTCAACTGGAGATAATAAATCATTCAATGCCGGCTTTGTGGCCTGTTTCAACCAGGAGATCTAATGTCGAATTGTTGAGTTTTTATATAGCTTTATTTCACCACACTGGTGGGTGTTTTGCGAGCCCGAAAAACTAAGTCCCTACAGGAAGGGCCAATGTAACTGGTTACAGAGGTGCAGTTGAATTGATAAATTCACACCACAATTGCTCGTTCGCAAGAGTGTAATGCGTAAGCACGTTAGTTATTTTGATAAATAACTGTTGAAATATTTATTGCTACTTTTTCCAATTTACTATGAGTATGGAATATAAAGTGTGGGTCAGTGGTTTATCGGTAGGATGCTCGTCACCTACCTACATCATCTGAATCCGATTTCTGGCCAACGCACTGCTAAACCTCTCTTAGCCAGTAGTAAACCCGAAAATGAGGGAAGGTGGAATGCGAAGCTAGCAACCCTGCTCCGTAGTTTCAGCAACACCGCTAATAAAACAACTATGTCCAAAGGGATGCAAGAAAAACACAACATAAGAAAATGTGTTGAAAAAAAATTGCTAGGATTGCATTATTATTACTAATCGCTTATAAAAACAACGACTACAGTCACGCATTGATAGCCTATTTGACTGCATATTCGATATCGTTAATCAGACCGCATATGTCCGCTAACGCAATTTACACACACTATTACTTTGGGAGTAATGGTAAGAAGAATGAATTATTATTTTTTTGGAAATGAAAGTCAATATTGTTTAAGCAATAGTCGGAATCGGTGAACTGTGAAAAATTCCGTAAGTCTATTACAGTGTTTAAGGTTGCTTATGAGGTAAGTTAATACTCTTTATATCACACTGGTGACCAGAGACTTTTAAATATTTTCTGAAGTTTCTAACTAATAATCTACTTCTCCATATTAATTTATTTATTAGAAATATCAATTAGTGAAACAGTAGTATCTACTGGATGACGATTCGGACACACCTTATTGTTTGTAATCATATCAACTCTGACTACACAACATCGAAACCTTATTTCCATAGTTATCTTTCTCCTTTCCTATTTGCCGTTGGAGTAGTAGAAAAACTTCCATATGTCTCCAACAGATGCTGATTCATTTCTATGATAAACATTTTCAGTTGATTAGATAAATACAGCCTCTCCCCGCTTTCATTAGTTTTTACGATTTTGCAGTTATAAATTACACAATTATGAACAATAAACTGTGATCTAAATGTCATCCAGTAAATAATGCTGTTTCAATATGTAATATATTATAATTAATTATTTAATATAGGGTTACATACTACCACAGCGTCCAATTTTTATACATTAATTGATGAAATCTATTTTCCCTTTATTACGCTTCTATGACTGTTAAACCTCAATTATATAAACAATTTTAAGAGAAGACAGTAGAACTAACTTACCTGTAAAGGAACAACAATTTTCATTGATGCTTTTATAAGAAGACAGATGTAACTATCTTCCTTAGCAACAAATGTTTTCCCTGGTCCACTGTCAGAATCATCTTTGGGACTCCGAGTAGTTACTCCTTCAGGGTCTCCCTCACCATAAAAGTACGAAGCTGATTTAACATTTCTACTATTCTCCACTGAAGAATATTAATTTCATAAATTATACAGCTCATAATAAAAATCATTCGGCTTACAAATACAAATACAGATTGCTACACACAGTAAACAGATACTGTAAAAATTATTAATGAATTTCATAAACTGACGGTTTAACCCAACAACTGGTATGGTACATAAAATATTCTTCTTCCAGAATTACCGTCAATTCAGATTAATAGGAATAATACATTTCTCTTAAACCCCCTTTTGAAAACATAAATGTATATGACGTATTGTTGTGGAATTTTCTATTGGTTGAAATCTAGACAATCATGGTGGTGGTGGGTTTATTCAATGTTGTGATTGGAAATATTTTGTGAATTTCAGTTTTAAAAATGAAACCAACTAAAGAAATAACATTATTTCTAAGCAATGTGAAATGATTTGTTAGAATACTAAATTATTTTGCTAGTCAAAATATTATATAGCTCAAGCATTTCTCTGGGGGGTGGGGGTGGGGTGTTCCTATCAATTCATGACTAAGTAAATGATTTTTACACCCTGTCTATTGAGGAGCAGTAGCGTTGATGCGTTTAACAATTGTAGCACTAAGTTTTAGTTCACTGAGATTAAAGGAAAGATTTTAGTTATAAATGCATAATTGAAATTCTTATTAGTCAGCAAAGAGATGACTTATCGTAGGCTCTCTTCAAAGCTATAGAGTTATTTACGGATTTCTATGCACACTGTTAATTGACAACAAAGTTTGGAGATTGTGGTCAGTTAATAACAAAATAAATCAAAGTTTATTGGAAATGACAATGTGTGGAAAACAGTGAATAATCTTACTTAATCGAGAGAGTTAGTTAAACACTGAACTAAAAGAAAACAAGGAAGCAGAGACTATAGGTTTCCAGACCGTAGGTGTTACGAAATTCCTGGAATAATTTGAGCGCCGAGTCAGATTGATTCATCATAAATTATTTAAATTAATCTCAGCGTGTTTAGAAAATCAAAACAAGATTTTTCTGAACGTTTCGCCGTGTAAGCCACAGCTTCTTCAGCAGATTTATCTGCTGAAATGAGGACTTACAGGAAAAATTGTAAAATAGGAAGACTTCATCGAGTTGATTATGCAGCAAGTCAGGAAAGTAAAATTTGCAATAAGGCCATGGTAATAAAAGAGACTGACATTTATTGTCAGTTAAGATTGTATATACAGGCTCTTAAATACCTGTACAACTTTGAAGACAAGATACAAAAACAAAACTCCTTGCAGTCTTTCATGTTCATAATTCAAACTATAAGGACAAATAAGTGCAGTAAGTAAATTAAAACTATTTATGTGATTAACTTTCTGAATTTCATCTAAAATTAGCCACCGAAATCGATAGTGGAAAACTCTAGACCTCCAAAAAACTGCTATCGTAGCCTAAAATATCCTTATCCGTCGGTTTTGATTAGGCTGAAGACAGTAAAGACTCTTCACAGACTCCTACTACCAACTACAAAAAATGAATAAACAAAAATGTTTGACAGTTTATTTACAGAGTACTGTGATACAACTCTAAGGCTCTTACAGATATGCTTTGAAAATCTAGTAGACTTTCCTAACCCACCTATAGCTGCTACTCTACTTGGTGGATGGGCTTCCATCCCGCTATGACTCAACAAACTACACTGGCTGGAACTAATGTTCCTGCAGGTTCTTCTGTAATGGTAAGAGACGAAAGACTTGATAAAGGAGTGTTTATTTGGCGTCTATTTATAACCGAATTATGTACACCTATTATTCAACACACCATTTAAACATATTTTCCGTGCTGTGCTTCTTCTGACCTCCATATTGTATTTCTTTCACGTCTCCCATGTATCTCCGCAACGCTGTATCATTTACTTTCTCTGACGTCAAATCTATCTGCCTTCTATTTGATGTTTTTATGCTAATGAACGTCTCTTTGCTTATTACTGATAAATCCTATCAGCAGAACACGCCACAGTACCTCTCAACATTGCCCTTGAGCATCATTCACGCGAAAGGTGATAATAAGTGTAGTATTGTAGATAAAGCAGAAATACTGCCACGTTTCATTAGATTTACCAGGTAGTCTTATTGAAGGAAAATGATGGATATTATTATTTCTTCCTTTAATTCCTAGAGGAACACACGGCCATGATGTTGGACATCAATTTATTCTTTCCGAAACACGTTTACCAAAAATTATTTTTACCCTGAACATTTTTATCGAAAGAACTGGAATGTGCATAAATCTATCAAACAGATCTCATGACCAAAGATAACCAGACAGTACACAGCACTGAATAACTTCTTTCAATTGGAATATACAAAGTGAAAAATACTTTGTTATCTTTGATTTATTTATATCTTTTAGTTTATTTACGTTTTGGTGCACCTGCATCTGCGTGTTTTAATTTTCTTACCCCTATAAATCTAGGTGGATCAAATGATGAGTATCACTTATTTTCCATATACGTTGTCACTGAACGCTTGATTATCTCAAAAGTGTGTTATAAGTACGTTCATTGTATATCATTAATTCGGAGTTAATCTGTGTAAAATAAACGTAGCAAAAAAGTAATAAAATGCCTCAGTTTACACTGGATCACCGTACTCAAATGAAATATGTGATAAGGTTCATTGAGACTTCGAACATGACAACCACTGTTCACCAACAGCATTTTTAAATTAACCATTTAATCTTTCATGCACTCTGAAGATTATTTAGTGTTGCACTAGACCAGATGTCTTGCTTACATTATGTCACAGCCATTTTCAGTAAGAAATTTGAAAGGAAGAGGAAATTACTGTGACAAACGACTATCAGAATTTAATTGACTGACTTCTGGAGTAATAATGAAGAGATTTTCCGTGTAAATACTTGAAGTATAACGCCAGATATACAGAATCGAAAACTTGTTTAGAATTTATAAATGACTGCATACGGAATTATTGATTTCCTGAACTTTACCGACAGCCTCTTCACCGCCATAAAGTTTATCGAAATTGCAGATCGCTGAGATGATATGCGATAAGACATCAGAAAGTATGTGTCAAATTTAGAAATAAATTCCGCAGTTGGTGAACTTTCATGAACTCTCCTGGTTATTTAGACGGAGTTAGCCAAAACAGAGAGGAAAAAAAGATTGTGAAACTTCTGAATTTTTTAGAAAGCTAAAACCCTGAAAAGAATTCACCTTCAGACGTGTATCAGCATGTTCATAATTTTCCCAGAATTACACTAGATAAATTCCAGTTAAAGGTATTATCAAGGGGTACTAAATTTTGTGACTAAGGTCATAAAATCAATCATCTCGACACTGAAATCCAGTTTGAAAGCTTGATTTAGCAAACAAAAGAATTGATTCCATAATTAGACGATGAACTTCTTAGGTTTAAAACTACACTAGTCAACAGCTATCAGCAGTATAAAACAGTTTTTATCCTAGCAAAATCCTCATGACTGAACAACAACGAGATGCTCTGATTAAGTTGAGGAATGACGAAAACTTTATAAATAGTAGGCCAGATAAAGGGACGTAGGTACTACTGATGGATGAATGTGAGCCTGTTTCATCGCTAAAAGATAAAAGAAAATTCCAAAGACTGTCAAGTCAATAAATTTAAACGGAAAGACTGAAAAGCAGCTGACAAACACGCTTTAGAAAGTGAGGAAAGAAGGAGTAATCTCTAGTGCTGCCTGCAACACCCTTGTACTCACAAGAAGTCATAAATATTGATTGCATAGTTCGCCCAAAGTACATAAGCTAGGAATTCCTCCTCGCCCAGCCCTAGATATGATAAACTGCTAGTTGGGCTCTTGCAATCAGTGAACAAAAAACTGGCAAGTTATGGTGTTTCGGTTGTCTTCGAATTCCCCACTAATTCAGAGGATGCTAATATAGGTAGGAAGTAAATATAATCCTTAGACTTTGTATCACTGTTCACTAATGTACAACTGATGGAGAGTATGAATTTCTTGTGCCAACTGATACTAGAATAGTAAATTAATGTTGGAATTCCGGTTACTATTCTCAAAGAGCTACTAATAAGATGCACTATGAATGTACATTTTGCACTCTATATTTGTTGCAGAAATATCGACTGCATGAGTATAGAAATCATGTTAAGCGTAATTCTGGTAGTTTTTTCCATTCTAAGCTTGAAAATTGTCCATTAAAAGAAGTAATAGATAAACTGAATCCTTATTATCATCTTATTGATGATATTTCCATTATTCTTGATCAGAAAAAATACAAGAGTGAGAACCTTACGAATCTTAATGGTGGACATCCGTCACTTAATTTCACTTGTGAAGAACATAGTGTGAATGAAGAGTCCCAAACTAGGACGAAAAATTGAAAACATTTATTTCCCGATACGAATTTAAAACAAGCAGCGAAGGTTAATAAAGCAGGATTTAATGAATTCATTAAATTTCGGTAGAACTCGTCAGCTGAATACTCTACATACACGGATATATATACTTTTGAAATTACATTGGGAAATATAAGAATGATGTTAGAATAGGTATATCTTCAGCTTCTCTACATATGAAGTCAATAGTCTCAACGACTGGCACATTTGTGAAGAGGGAGGTAACGCTTATCAGAATACATTGAAATCTTTAATTTGCTTGACAAACTGAAATGAATCAGAAATTATATACGTTCCGAAACGTTTTCGCAAGGCCTGCAACAATACACAAAGCCACTGTGCTAATTTGTGGTATGGTGAGTTTATCACTGAGAGTATAGATCTTAACGGGGCTCCCTGGTTTGTGTATTTTAACGCGTCTGTATAATTTTGGGATTTGTGACCTATACACATTTTCATCAATGTATTTCTTTTTGAAGAGTTGCTGTTGATGCTGCAAAATTTTCCTTTCAGTCGATAACGTTCGATCTTTTGCATGATTATCCAATCTGAATTTACAATCATCAGAGAGAATTTGATGCATTTTTTTCGAGATAATCTATCTTATTCATTAGCACTACGCTTTGTCCTTTATCAGCTTGTAAAATAAAAATATTATTGTCTTTTCGGAGATTGTTTAGTGATCTCCAGTGTTTTTTGGTGATATGCGACTTTCGATTGGTTGGCTTGATTCGAAATCGATGAGCGATATCAACCAGCTTTCGCTGTCATTGGATGTAGCATGTAGCCCCATAAGTTGGTCATAAATATTTTCAAATTAGCATTCGATATCAATTTGCTTTATCTTTTTCAGGGGGGCAAAGAAGTTGAATCCCAATGACAGAATTTCTGCTTGTTCTTTAGAAAGGGAAACATCAGATAAATTATGAACATAATTAGATATATCCACCGGGAAAATGTCATTTGGCGGTTCCTGATAAAGCGACCTCTTCAGTTTCTTTTCTTCTGATTCTCTTCGAAGTGGCATGCAGATATTTAGCGAATTTAAGATAGCATACGAAGTTCAAGTCATTTTGTACACTGATCAGTTTGCTTGATAGTACGCATAAATCACTGATTTCATCTGTTTCAGAGCACAAATGTGATTCAACAAAACGGTAAAGATTTGGCTGTGTAGGTTTCAAATGATCTTTACGCAAGGATTTGTAAAATGTCCGAGGATATATATTAGTCTCAATACATTCCTTTAAAAAATCTCGTCGTGCAGAGTGTTTAGCAGTCTTAAACCTCAATTTCAAAAGATCATTTAGTGCATTGATAGTGCTTTCTAGGAGACGCTTCTTTAAGAATTCAAAACACTTATTTCCCGATACGAATTCAAAACAAGCAGTAAAGTTTAATAAAGCAGGATGAAAAAGCTGTCGATTACTCCTTGGCTTTCCAATAGTTCTCTAACCGATGCCAACTAATGATCAAACCTGTGAATTACACTTTCTTGATGATCACCTGAGCAAACATTTACTGAAGAGAGATGCTTCCAGAAGAAGAGCCTCTGCGGCACAATAAATATATTTCTTCTCTTCCGTAACCATTTGATACAAAATCAATTTAGTCAGATGCCTGATGAATACAACAAGAAGGCTCTATACTGTTAACTCTTTGGAAAACAAATTAGGATACATCCATAATGCACTGATCCATATAGTTATCCTGGAAGATTTGCATGGAGGCACATGATCAGTGAATATGATTAAGAGAAACTGACTACGATTAAGAAGAAACAGCTTTTTCTAGAGCTCTAATTTAACAAGAATGTGGCTAGTGAAGTTATACATCGAAAATAATCTAAAGAAACGAAAGGGATAGATACTGCCACTGCCCTTTGTTTATAGTTCTCCAGACGATTAGTTTTGATTTTGCAAGTGAAAAGATACGCCATCCAGCTGCGATATTCCTGTGTACATTCACCTGCTCCTTCGGGAAATCTATATACAGCAAACAACTGAACAGCTTGATAAATGCATCACTGTGCACCTTCCTGCATGGTTTGTAAACAGTCAAACGAAATCTACAAGAAGCTTTTATCTCATTTGATTTTTGGCAATCATCAGTGGAATAGAACGGCTTTCAAGGTTACTTATTGCATTCCATAGAACACAATTTTGAACTCATTCTTATGCACTCCCAAAGGTATGGGAATCGGAAAGAACAACATTAGTCTTCGTATACAAAAGTTTCGTTCTACGATTGCCTCTCCGTAGGTCTAGGTAAACCGAATAAACTAATTCAAACCTCGCACCTATTCTTATTCTTCACTTCTTTAGTACTTTTATTATATTTACTTAAACTCCGGTTATCTATCTACTTCCCCTTAAGTATAACGCAACTTTTAATTTTACAAAATTTTAATCTGATTGATTTGTTTACATTATCATACTATTTTCACCATGCTTATCGTCATCTACTAATACTTGCGTTATCATATACCTTGTTAACATTATGGTTTATATCATTCTAATACTTGCTACTGAAATATTCAACACTTATTATTATTTTTGGTTACTATCAACGGAATAAATTATCGAGAGGACACTTCTTTCACCTATTTAAGCGGAATCCTTCCAACTACGGGAGGAAGGGATGAGGATGTCAAAACCAAGAACGGGAAAGTTAGACAGACCATCACTCTAAAATCACTTTGGAAATCTTTTGCACTCAGCATTAAAAGCAAAATTCGAATTAACACCAATGTTAAGACAATTTTTTCATACGGCCTGTGTGTCACAAAAAGTATTTCCAATGAGCTGCTGCAAACTTTTATCAATAGCTGTCTTCACTAGCTGCATACTGCTGGTCAGATGGCAAGAAAGAATCAGCAACAAGAAACTCTGGGATGGAATCAATCAGGAACCTGTTGTTCAACAAATAAGCCGAAGAAAATGGATCGGATACGCGCTGAGCAGGCCGTTGGATGACATCACACGCCAGGCGAATGCTGGAGTGGAACCCGAATAAGAAACGACGAGTTGGGCATGAGTCCGAGGGTGACAACGAGATCGTGTGAAGTAGAGATGAGAGCTCATGAGCTATCACATAACCAGTTAACAGGAGTGCAGAGAACAGAGTGAAATGGAGATGTACTGTTGAAGTTCTGTTTTCGACTCGGAACCCAAGGGAATAATGATAATAATTTTTGACTATTATTGGTTAAATATTTTCTACATAAAGCTGTGTACATTACAGTAAAGCCCAAGAGAGATCTAATTGAAACATTTGAGTTCGCTTGTGTCTTGTTTCAAATACATACTGTCAATATTGCTGTTATGATTCAACTTGACTGACTAGCACTTAGTGATATAAGATGAGTTCCAATCTCAGAGACAATATGCGTTGTTTCGCTGACTTCCTATAATTTAATACCCAACCTTCTTCAGTATGTCTTGCTACAACCTTTCATTGTGCACGAGAAAAATTATCAAATTCATGAATGTAGACCTGAAAGATGAGGATATCCATTTTTTATTTACGTAATTCACAGATAAACATCCTTATTTGTTAGGAATAACCACAGAACATGGTAATTTAAGAACGGTGGTGGTAGGTGTCCATCAAGCTGGAAGATTTTATGCCTCCTATGATAAGATAGTGTTTAGTTACTAATTTCTGCGATGAGACTAGGTAATACTCATTAGGAAATGCGTTGAATACTATATGTAACGGCTAAATCAAGACGCTCTTCAAAGGTTATCAACGCAACGTTAACACCACATATATGGAAAATATTACTATCAGTAGTAAAAGCAGACAATACGAAATGATGGGATTATATATAAACAAATTTTGGAAGTAGTGTGAGTGTCCTAATATTTTTATGAGCAATAAATCATGCTTGTAAGTAATCGTAAGCAAGTAATATTGTATCTCTGTGTGTCTTTAACAAATAACATTATTCTATCACAGTGCCAAATGATATTCTCATATTTGTGCACTCCTTCGCATTTCGAGTGGATAATAGGGATTTAACTTGTAGTAACGGTAGCGTTTTTACGGTCACCGGCCCCAGGTCCCACCTACCTTCTTACCTGGGCTTACTACAAATTAGGCTGGCCACTCAAATGGTCCAGCTTCGACTCTCAGTCAAGGCACTCATAAACCCCGATTCTTATTCTAGACTTATCAAACTCTGAGTAATTACTAGAATAATATTTCCGAAAGGTACATTAACCATCCACACATTTGCTGCGTAATTCCATGCATGAGTTGGTTAAGTTTCCAGACTGTAAGATATGGAGAAGCGTCTTGACAAGAAAATAAAAGAAACGCACTACTTACAACTACACAAACACACACCCAAATTTTCTGCTAAAATATTTCGAATACTGAATGAATGCAGTAGGTGTTGGTTTCTTATTACAAGCCATTAATGCATGATAGTATGATATTTAAACGATTTCCAATAGTCATCATTAAAAATAACTTGCTAATATAACACATTGGTCAAACATTTTATATTTCGTCTAAGAGCATAGCATAACCGCATCGCTTTCAGTCAACATCGTACGATATGCTAAGCTGATAAAATTTTTGCTCAAGTAGTTAGTGTCACGAAAGTGAATTACTTTCTTCATTCGTGAGAAATTATTTGTTCAGAGAAACAGAATTAGTGACTATACACTTGTTTATTTTCGATACTGTTTACAAGACATCATATGGTTAAGGTACAAATACAATAGAAGAAGAAACAGCATGAAAGACATAAAACGACAAACTACTAGAAAATCATGAAAGTAGATGGATATATTGCGGTGAAATTAATACAGAAACGTATAACAGCGAATGACTGAACAGTAGTGGGAACATATACTTCAAATACGAATAATCCTGAGATGAAAATCCAAAACGCAGATTGAAGTATGTTGAATCTTTCAAAAAACAAACAATAAATTATTGTTACTTATCATTATTACTATTATTACTAACGCTGAATATGCATTCCTATTTTAATGATTCAATATGTAATACGTCAACAAAACATGTGTGATTAAAGGTTTATGACGCATACATATATATGTACACTGAGTTACACTCGTAAAACCAATGAAAATCGAACCAAACCGGTGAGAATTATTAAAGAATGTAAAGACAAACAAAAATAGTAGAAAATATAAAATACCAGGCGTACACAATGTTAACATACCTAATCATTCAATGAAGTGCGTAGTTTTGGGTTAAAATTGAAATTGAAATGTTCGTTTACACTCCATTTTGGTGTAAAAATTATATTTTGAGGATCAACATTGACATAAAAGTTAGGCTTTAAATCTGACAACAAACGTATCACGTGTTCCCGTCTGTAAATTGAATACATATACACATCACAGGTCGGTTTATAATTAAATGAAATGAACCATAGTAATTATCGGAAAAATAATGGCTAACAGTACAATATACGTTTCTAGATAATTCAAATACATTATATTACATGTGCTCGAATTTTATATCACTCATGATCCCAGGTGTTTCAATGGCTCTTATATATAAGATATGCAGTTAATTTGATAAATAGTTAAAAATTAATCTACTACACTGAAGTTGTGGTCAACTGACAATCAGACATTAATAAGCATATAACATCACCAGTTCAGTGAGTTTACACATTACAGTATCAAGCGTAAGTCAAACTAATGCCTATCACAACCAACAGTTCTAGAGGAGGAAGTGTAAATCAGCGATTATATCAAGGTACAGCATTAAAAGCATATTATTGTTCTCTTGGGTTATGAGTCAAAAACAGGGTTTCAACAGCACATCTCCATTTTGTCCTGTCCTCTATAGTGCTCTTCAACGTGCCCCACAATTGCTCATAAGCGATTACCTCCTCCATGTCAACCTTGGACTCGCCCAATTCGTCAATTCCCTCCCCATTCGGGTTCCACTCTAGCAATGTCCTAGAGCGCAGCCACTCAACCGTCTTCTCAGCGTGTATCTGATCCATCCCTAATTTCTTCGGCATATTTCTTGAGCCACAGGTCCTTGGTTGGTTCGTTCCCAGAGTTCCTGGGTGCTGTTTCTTTCTCCTCAAGTGATCTTCAGTATGGAGCCAGACAAGAAAGGTATTGATAAAAGTGTGCAGCAGCCCGTTGGAACTTCTTTTCGTGATACGCCAAGTTTCTGACGCATGGATTTCTTGAATTGTTCACAGGAGTTACATATATGTTACTTGAGTGGAGTTGATTTGACAACCGAAATCTATGGGTTAGAAAGGAAATATTATCCGACGATCACTTGACAATGTGCTATACTCACTGTGTTAAAGTTATTGATGCTATAGGGTAGCTAAAACCTCAGTAGGTAGAGCAGGGTAAGAACAAATGAGTCAGAGATTAGAAGGCTAGTGTTTACATCAGAGTTTGGAAACCACTGGACGATGTTGTATGAAGTATCGATGTCTTATTTTTCACCTCTGTCAAAATGTTACTATTCGTCACCCACGTTAAACATTTTATTGTTTAAGAGTTCTTTTCAACCATTTGATAACATGGATTCGAAGTTTTTCATTTTCTCTCTCAATATCTCGTATCTTCACGTTCATAAGAATAAACAAGTATCAAGTCACCTAGACCATGAGACAACTACTGGTTAAGAGTGAATCACATCACTGTTTTTTCTAGCGGTTTGAAGCATAGGATTGTTGCTCGAAAGATGTTGACTACTTATTATTTTGTATAATGTTTAAACCCCACAGTATTTTGCTTCATAAAACTTACATTAAGAAGGGACCATAGATCTGTCTGCGAAATGAAATGCTGTGAAATCTATGCTTCAAGTCTGTGAATATTACTAACTGTGCGTCGGTGGCACAGTGGTTAGGACTCTTGCCGACCATGCACATAGTCCGAGGTTCGATCCCCTGCGGACGCACACCTGATATCTGTGGTCGGCCTGCGAAATTTGGGCTACCGATATCCATGCTGAAAATTCCATACTTGTACTAAAAATACAGTGTGGAATGAAGCTGTAAATCAAAAAATTTAAAAAATGCCAACATATTTATCACATAATCAATCATACATAAAGAATTATCATACGCAGACATACCCAAACATCGCAGCCAGTTTTGAGCCGCTCAAAGTGAACAGTAGAGAATCGTTAGCAAAATCATGTTTTTCTACAATATCCTCAGGATGGCCAACAGGAAATACAACTAGACGTAAGGTTGACAAGTAATTATCAGATGTTTGTACACTGACAGTTATCTGTTTCAATAAGAAAAAAAAGGAAATACATTTTCAATATAAATAGTAAAAGATAATACAGTTTCATAACTAGTCATAATTATAATAATTAGTTCGAAAGGTTGAATCAAAGTTAACTAGTGTTTATGAAGTCATACCACATATCCGCAGTCCGCCAGCTGGAAGTTCTTAACGACTTTCAGATAACACGAATTTGATTATCAGTAGGACTTCAGAACTCACTGCCTTAATCAAATGCCAGAAATGAGAAAGACCAAATAGTCATTTCAAATATAGTAAAGAATATTCCCGAAACAGATTACGCAGACAATACTGACTCGCACTGCTAGATTGCATGATGTACAATCGCTAACGATACACTTTCAGTGGAACAGAAATACACTCAATCCAATGTATCCTCTATTTTGGAGTGCCCAAGAACTCAAGAGCAGTAGATAATTCATTTATTCCAATCCCTTTATTTAATATCAACACTGCCCATCAACAACTAAATTCATGAAACATATTAAGACGGCCGGTTACTGTCCATCAGTATCATAAAAATGACCCAATGTGAATATCATAAAAATAGAAAAGAAAAAAATACTTGATGTTTACAGTACACGATGATTGAATTATAATTAAAAATAGAAGCGTATATTACTGCATTTTGAAAAGTAACTTACAGTGGATGCATAAGTATGACGAATTACATAAAAATGTAGTCCACTAGTATCAGTGGAAGGCATTTGAAGGTTTAAATGACAAGGAATTGCTCGTTCAACACCTCTACGAGATAATGAACTACTACTACTACTTGAGTCCACAGACAATTGATCGGCAATTGAATTTATCAGAGTGGAAGAACTATTATGCACGGAAATGGTATATACACAGCCTGTAACAAAAAGAAAAGCAAATGATTTTTACTTGGATGAGCTCTTAGTCCATCGACTTTTACATCTTCAAATTTTATCTAGAAATCAAAGATGGTATACAACTCCAGGTAGTATGTTTTCTCTAAATTATTAAAGGAATGTGATATTCAACAAGCGAAAACAATAACTAGAAACATTATAATTATAGTTTAAGATACATAAGTTATGGTACAGTATCGACTTCCACTACACAATTTAGTGTGATAAATTCTGGAACATTCATATGGGAGAAACTGTTTTCCTAATCTCAAGATAAAACTTAAATTACACTACGACACTTCACAGACAAAATTTCACTTAAAGAATCATACTACTGTTTTCTTTTTCAGTAAAGCTATAAATAAAGTACTGATGGTAACACTAAAAGCTGTGGAAAAAACTCCGCCCTCAAAGGCTAAACAACTATCATATTATCCATTATGTGATCTGCTGATTTTGATTGCTTTATCAGTGAGCTAATTAACATCAGAAACTGGAGAATGAAGAGAATAAAATGTTAAGACAGCAGATCGTCGGCAAAGACAAAATAAAGAGGAAAGCAAGTTTGCAGTGTAACACATAGGCGGAAATGTCATTACTTCGAGGGTAGAATGTGGAAAAACTGGTCGCACTAACCTGGAATGAGACCTCTAATACGGAAATTACCATCTGAATCAGTTAGAGATTGTTCACGAGGTATGATATTGATCTGGTCAGAACGAAGCTGACAACTCATGTTCACACTTGATTCCAAATGCAGCACGTCATTGTGCATCGTCTTCGGTGGGTCAGGTAGCCAAGCAGCTTCCACTAAAACACCAGGCTCTGGAATACCTGCTAAAGAAGTAACCTATAAGTTCGGATATATGTGAAAAAAAATACGAAGTATAGAGGTTGTTTGGGAAATTAAGGTATAACGGTAAGTATGACGGACTTCAACTTAAACGGAGGTCATATAATCCGGAATAAAAGAGTAGAACTTAGGTAACAGATCATGCTCAGCACAATGCCCAGTAGACAAACAAGTATTATACGGAAGATAGTTTCGAAAATTATGAAATATCATTACAAAAAGTACTGACTTATTTAGTATACAATTCGAACACTGGGGTATGAACCAAAATGCAAACATGAGTTACTTTGGTTAACGAGGTTACAGTGGATGCGGTAAGATTTGAACTCTGGACGAATTGAAAGTTAACCGCTTAAATGAAATAGTAAACACATTCTATCCTTTAAATAAAAATAATTGGTGAAGTGATCTTAGCGTACGTAAATGACACATATCAGTATAAATCATTATCTGCTGTACGAACCACAAATAATTTAATACTAATGTTTTACATTCTTCAGATTGACTGAGTATTTAACATAACGGGCTATTCCTTTATCCAAGTGCTTTCAATGTACGAAGATTCGAATAGACATCGAGCACGCTGCTTATCAATATAGTGGATAGAATGAATGATTTTACCCATACAAGAATTTGAGTAGCCAAAATCTTATCTACCTACTGCAGGGATATCTTATATTGTTTCGTATTCTTTTTGAATAAAAATTACAAGATGAGATTAAATTTCTATTTTATAGATGAGACCACTGGGAAAAGCGTCTGACTGATTGTATTAAGGATGCGACATTATATTTTATTTTAGAAGATTCATCTTACTAACAAATTAGGTATTGAGCTTTTTTGTTGATTATCTGGAACAATACTTAAGTAATGATCACCAGATTTTTCTGTTGCAATGTTCAAAGAAAATAGAGATCCTTGTAAACTTTTACAGGTAGTTAGTGTACTTGCTGAGTTTGGAAATCATATGCCTAATCAAGTGAGCTATCCGAAGCACCAGTAAAATATCTGGTTATCAGATTAGATAAAAACATAAAATCAGTAAGAAATGACTTTCTAGAAGAGTCTGGAAACAGATGAGATGATTGTACAGAAATCTGGTATTTTCATACATAATTTATGTTGCAATAAACTTTATGTGATTTTGTCACCCTTTAGGTCTGCAAGAAGGACTGTCTCATGACAGCATGGGGTTTAAGTGTTCACAGTTACACATAATTATTCAATGTCACTAGTCCTTTTATAATATGCCTACAGCTGCATCCGAAATTCTCTGAGCACCATGACTGAGTGACTGGTTTCAACACAGAACTTTGTACTGAAGTGTGAAAGTTCGATTCGCCACACTCCATGTAGCACACAAAGGAAGAAAAAAGACATTTGAAAGGACGACAGTTAGCGAAGAATAGTAGCATGGAAAATCAACAGGGTTTAAATAAATAACAGCAGAACACAAACAGCGTCATGGTCAAACCTATACACTTAATGTTTAACTACGAAACCAATAGCTTAACAACTAATATATTGCATAAAAGAGATATTTGCGTATGCACTAAAAAATAGAATGCACACGTCAATTTTTTCAAGAACTTGAATTTTACTTACAGTTCCTGATGCAGAAAAAGCAATTCGATGCGCTGACAATATAACTACAGCCGATTTGCCTTCCTCTACTTGAACGGGAATTGCATGACCAGATTCAGATGAATCAGGAGACATTACTGTGAAGGAATACTCTTTCATCATTGGACGTAAATAATATTGGCCTTTGGAAATAAAATTGGAAAGTGTTTATTCTCAATATTCAACCTTAAGAGTTATTGTCAAAAACAAGAATAACTTTTTACTGAAATATATATAACAACACTGATATCCTTGAAAAACTATTTTGTAATTCCAAACAGGAGTTCTCCTTAAATATGATGCCTAACTTTATGCCATTAGATTGATAGTTCAAACCCAGTTTTACCAACCAAAATTTACTAACTGGCCTAAGCGGTCTAGTGGATAACGCTCTGGAGTTTGAAATGACGAGTACTGGGTTGGAGCCTCAGTGGGAACACCATCACTCACTGGGGAATGCAGGTACATTCAGATGAAAAGTCCCGAATAGAACGAAATGCAGTATCTGGATTCCAATGATAGTCACCATCCAATAAATTATTTCAAGTCAATCCTTAGAAATCGTTGAAGTGTCCACATTAGAAGCCCACATGTCAACAGAGCCTAAACTATTCAGTCCAATCAATGGGCAGGAAAATCAAAATTGAATTAAAAACAAATAATAATACTTACTAAACCTACTGTTATAGATATGACCGACAAACAGTAATTTGAGTCTTAGGACTGATTATTAGCATTATTATTAAACAAGCATACAACGAGGGAATACACAAATATGAGAATAAATGCATTGTGATTCATTCAAATCAGTAATGAAATATCAACGTAAAGATTTTTTCTATCAATTAAAATTCTACCAGCAAAAATTTTCTGCATAAAAGAATGAATACGCACTTTCAGTGTTAATATGTTTTGAAGGTGCACTGAAGGTAACTCAGTAAATGATAGTATGTTCACTCAGAATATATCCACTACAGCCGCTCTCTCTCTCACACACACACACACACATACACACACAATGTGTAAAACGCATGCAGAAATATTTGGAATGCATAAAATTTTTGACTAAAAAACAACATTTAGGTAATAGAGTAATAAGGTTACCATAACAGACACACAGACACATAACTCTGGAAATACTATAATTCATTCAATGTTCAACAAATTTTGAGCTTAGATTTAAGTTTCAACTGCAGATGGGTGAAGCATGCTCCGGTAACCTGATTACTTTCGACTTTTAATTGCATTCAATTTAATAAGCAAATAGAGAATCACTGTAAGATAACATCAAGCTGGGTGATGATTGACAAGCTCCATCTAAGATTATAATCTAATAGTACAACAATGTACATATAAGGTGGAGGTGTAAGCCGAATACACAAACTTATGCAAATGTTAGTGAATACTATTTTAAGATGTGGTCTACAAGAATACGCACTCAGCTGAGTGAACAGTCTATTGAAAACATAGAATAACAATCTCGCAAACATACCAGGGGATAAACCAACAAAGCGTACCACGCCATCGACATTTGTTAAGTGATTAGCACGATGTCCTTCACCAATGATAGAGATTAGTACAGCTGAAAATAAAGTACAGTGCGGAAATACAAATATTGATAACCTGAAGGATTACGACAAGAAACAAAGACAGGAGAATGTTTCAACATATAAATTCAAAACAGTAATTTCTATAAATACAAAAACCAGACGAGTGTTAAACTCACTTCACATAATTCAAATTATGATAAGAGGAACAAGTTGCTTTTCAGCTTTACAGGAAGTTTACTAGATAGTTTTAGGTTCAATAAATCACTTTCGTAGAACACTATCAATTTGATATGTGGGTAACAAAGTGGCCAGAAACATGATATATACAAGTATATTTTTAAGTGTCAATCAATATAATCAAAAATGAAGAAAATGCGTGGTTCAGGTGAATGGTTTTGATGTCGCCGTGTTGACTGGTGGTCTACACTCAGAACTCCTGCAGAAAGCCCTGGATCACAACACTAGGCGATGACTAGAAAACAGATTTCTTCGCTGTCACAGAACCATCAATGAAAACATCAAAATTAAGTGAGAAGCAACAAGATGTTTGTCAAACTACCATTTGCATGATAAAACAGAAAAAGCCCAATACTCAAGAGAAAGTAAAGAAGAGCAAATAAGAGTAAAAAGAACAGTTATGCACTAGCTAACAAAGAAAAAACTACAGTAACTTTTAACGAAAAAGATTACAATAAGAAAGCAGAAGTGATTCGCCTGACTGACTGGCTGGTTTCAACGTAGAACTTTACACAGATAAGCAGCAGTTCGAGCTGCCACTCTACATGTAGCGTACAAAGCAAGAGAAGAGAACAAAGGGAAATTTGAAAGAGAGACAATAAACAGAAGTATGAGGGAAACATAACAGTAATGTGGAAGAACAATACAGTTGTACTGGATATGACAAATCATCATAAAGAGTGAATGCACCTGCACCAGCCATTGAGAACGATTTCGAGCCATATCACCAATTGTTTCCAACCATTGGTTTCTATCGTCCCGAGGACCCCAACCAGGAAGTCTATACCTACCTACGTGACTGGCTTAAACTAACTGTTGTGGATTTCATTGACTGGTGCCATGTTTTGGTTTGATCGCCGCTAGCTCTTTTCTAGCCTGACCCTATATTTTTTTTTGATTTACAGCTTGATTCCACACTGTATTTTTGGTACAAGTATGGAATTTTCAGCATGGATATCGGTAGCCCAAATTTCGCAGGCCAACCATAGATATCAGGTGTGCGCCGGCGTGGGCTCGAACCCCGGACTATGTGCATGGTCGGCGAGAGTCCTAACCACTGTGCCACCGACGCACACAGCTAACATCAGCTAACATTGCCCATCGGTCGAGGAAGGCGATGACTAGGCATACATAACACATGTCTTAACCATCTCAGTCAATGTAATTTCACAGCCTCGTCGATTGATTACCTCTCCTTACCTAGCACTCGACGCCTAACCTCAATACTGCTCACCTTATTATACCACTTCACACGGGAGATAGAGCGCAGGCACCTATGATCCAAGACAGCTAATCTTTTCATGTCTTCCACTCTCAATGGCCATGTCTCGCTCACAGCCATAAAGGAGGACGGAGCGGACTGATGAGCAGTATACCCGTCCTTTGGTCGACAACCAGCCGGATATCACGTCTACGCCAGAGACAGTGTAAACTGGCATATGCGAAACTAGCCATCTGTGTCCGTGCTGAGACTTCGTCAGAGACCAACCCGTTGGGGCTGACGCAACTTCACAGATAAGTGAAGCGGTCAACGTGCTCTACCACCATAGACGTTGCTAAATGCTGTATATCTAATGGAGTAGGGTTAAATTGTGAAACTAACCTACAATTTATCCAGCTTATGTTCTGATGAGTTAAAATAAAAACATTTTTTTGAATTCGGAGACCACAATGATGTAGATGCATCCGTGTCATATTGTAGACACCTTAGTGGTGAAAAGCAGTTCAGTCAGCACTCGACGCCTCATCTCAATACTGCTCACCTTATTATACCACTTCACACGGGAGATAGAGCGCAGGCACCTATGATCCAAGACAGCTAATCTTTTCATGTCTTCCACTCTCAATGGCCATGTCTCGCTCACAGCCATAAAGGAGGACGGAGCGGACTGATGAGCAGTATACCCGTCCTTTGGTCGACAACCAGCCGGATATCACGTCTACGCCAGAGACAGTGTAAACTGGCATATGCGAAACTAGCCATCTGTGTCCGTGCTGAGACTTCGTCAGAGACCAACCCGTTGGGGCTGACGCAACTTCACAGATAAGTGAAGCGGTCAACGTGCTCTACCACCATAGACGTTGCTAAATGCTGTATATCTAATGGAGTAGGGTTAAATTGTGAAACTAACCTACAATTTATCCAGCTTATGTTCTGATGAGTTAAAATAAAAACATTTTTTTGAATTCGGAGACCACAATGATGTAGATGCATCCGTGTCATATTGTAGACACCTTAGTGGTGAAAAGCAGTTCAGTCAGCACTCGACGCCTCATCTCAATACTGCTCACCTTATTATACCACTTCACACGGGAGATAGAGCGCAGGCACCTATGATCCAAGACAGCTAACCTTTTCATGTCTTCCCCTCTCAATGGCCATATCTCGCTCACAGCCATAAAGGAGGATGGAGTGGATTGAAAAGCAGCACATCCGGATATCACGTCTACGCCAGAGACAGTGTAAACTGGCATATGCGAAACTAGCCCACTGTATCCGTGCTGAGACTTCGTCAGCAATCAACCCACTGGCATTGGCTGATGCAACTTCCCAAATAAGTGAAGTACTCATTGCGCTCGTCTAACCACTTGACTCCCTATTTCTAATCTAGGAGTCAATGTAGTCCAGTCCTGTAGCATCATCTTACATTTGACAGAAGGAGCGAATCGCATGCTAAACATTCGGAGATCGCCACTCAAGTTGTTCAGAAGACTGCATTTAGTCAGAGTCTTCACCTAGGAGCAGGACTATATCATCTGCATATTTCAAGTCAACAAGATTGTACCGTGTTAACAAGTCAATCCCTAAGTCGCCGAAGACAGTGAGGGTTACGTTCATTAGTACATATATGATGAAATTAAACAGAAATGGGGACAGTGGGTATGCTTGAAGGGATTCACCAGAACATAATCAGGTAGACAAACAGCTAACATTAGATTCCTACGCAGACATTAGAAAAGTGAATCAAAAAGACTGTATGCAAACACATGGAATCAGGACATATTAAAAAATATGATTAGCAGAAAATGAAATCTGACTTAACCATGATGAAATCCTGTTACCAATCAAATCCCTACAAACCAACACTTGAATATCAATGAGATGCTCACTAGCGACTTACCTTATTCAGGTAGATAGTTACCTGGGGTTCCAGTGAGAAGTCATGACCAGCAGGGTGAAGCAGGTCGGGTGTGAGGACAAATACTCGCCGACATTGGCTAGGGGTCGCGCTATGTCGTGAATTGGCAGAAGTTAGAATTCATGGGCCATTGGATCGGGTCCCAGTGGCTTAATGATATACTAGCTCGCCTTTTAACCAGGAGGTCCTGGGTTCGAACCCCCGTGCGTAAGCACGTACTGATGAAGAGCCCCAAACTAGGACGAAACAGCTGTCCAGTGCTCCCAGGTTTTCCAGTGGTTCTCTAACAGATGTCAGCTCATGACGAAATCCTGTAATCAACCATTTTACCCTGGTTGTGAGGTAGACCGAAATTACACAAACCAAGTATGTCACAACAGAAAATCAATTCACTTTCCTTGTGAAATTAAATTATCACCAAATAATCAACTCAAATTTAGACAAAAGCTCACGGATATTCCAACCAGATGTCAGTGAAAACATGATACTAGCTGATTTCTTAACGTTGTACATTTCCACGGGATAAGAGCTAGGTCACACCCCACCCACGCACAGTTCATCTATATCACACTTTTAAAATGGATGTGAACTAGTTTATTGTTCTGTCAAAGAACCTCTCATAGGAAGAAACAAAATAACTACAGAGACCTGGAAAGTATGCAGCAAAAACACAACTACTCAGTCTTATCTTACTCTTTTAATATTTAAAACCCAAATAATAAATCCCATTGTGAATAAGATTTTATTTTGATAAATCACAGTGTTGTACAGTTATATGAACTGATGACGTTTCGAGCACAAACTATTACCCATAATTGATATGATTATGAGCAATAGTTTGTACTCGAAACATGACCGTCAGTTAATGTTACTGTATAACACTGTGTGATTTATCAAAATAAAATCTTATCCATAATGGAGTTATACTCTACCACAGTGCCCAAGTTTTATACTGATAGCAAATAATAAATATTTCATATTTTGAAATAACGAATATTAAGAGACTTACCTGATAATGGTTGATTTGAATCATTTGAAACAGGATGTTTAAAAACAAATACTTCTACAAGTGAAAGTCTCGTTGACTTTATATACCAATGGAAATCTCGCGAATGTTTAGTATCCGTATCGTTCAGTACATCGAACTTATAACCAGCTTTGGATACTGTAATTTCATATATTTTAGAAACTTCTGATAAAGATTTTATGTTGAATTCTTCATAGTTGACTAATGGTAAAGCGCTGAAAGTAAATATACCCTGCCTATCTGTTTGAGTGGTCGCTACATAAGCAGAAGTATTAGAATGGTCTAGTTCTTTTAACAATTCTGTCTCACTGTCCACGGGTAGAAGTGGATGGTCACGTTTCAGCAAGATTGACGATTGTTCTGATGGCTGTGGTAATCTATGATATAATTCCACATCAGCCTGAATTTAAAAAGAAAACGATCAAGAGAGTGTTGATTTAGCATACCTACAGAAAGAGTTAGGAAAAATAAATTCTAACTTATAAAAGATTATTTTCCCATATCTTAACCAATCATAATGATACATTGATATGACAAAGGGATATAAACAAATTAAAGAGTACGCATATGTTAAGCAATAACAGCTAGAATCTCTCAATATCCACCTACACCTTAAATACTAATGGTAGATATATGTATAATGAAGCGTTCTCAATGGCACAGATGCGTTCACTCTTTGTAGTCTCACAGATTCATTAAGCCTTGATGTGTTTTCCGTGTTACTATTCTTTCGTCCATACATTTCCCCTCAACAAAGTCATTTTGAATTTCTTTTAGATTTCGTCTCTGTCAAATTACAAGTGTTACTTATATCCTTTTGACCTAGGTAGACAGCTTATTATTGCAGTATTATATTGGAACCCTATGACTAACACAAAGTTGACACCAAACATTTGGCTTCCAACAGACAAGTATCATTTGTAACTCAAAAACAAAACAAGCACTTAATCCAAAGTAAATTAAATTCGTCTAAATGAAGTATGGAATTTAAACCTCGAAACATTATTTGTCGAAAAATGATAAGTTAATCGGTCATGAGGAGATGAATATTTTTCTTACCTTCTCTGCAGGCGGATCGATACGACCTCGGAGATTGACAGCAACTGTAAGGTCAAATTTAATATGCTGTCCATTGTAAAATGAAGAGCAAACTGACTTCGCATTATTGATAGAAGCGGGTTTAGTTGTATGAACTTCAGGCATTGTTAAACCGCATGAAATACTATCGGTAGAGGAATCTTGAGAATACAGCTGAAGATTAATATCTTGACTAGACGGATTTACACTCAAGTGAGCAAAGTGATTTTGCTCAAGACTGGGTTGCTTGGGTTTAACACGAATCATGTTACCCAACTGAACCCAAAACATCCCAGTTGCAGATAAGGATTCAACGTTGTGAGGTATTTCTGGCCAACTGTTATGATAAATGAGAAGAAAGAATTATTAATTTACGAAATAGGAACACACATGCAATGAAATCTGTTCATCAATGTGAAGAATTCGTAATAAGAAAATTCCATTGGAATCATTAAGAATATATTATAGTGTTCAATGGCACAAAAAACCTCACTCTCATGAGGTAGACACTAAAACAATTTATTTTACTATTTTAATGACGATGTCATCAACCCTCCAAGATAAGTAATAAGAAAGTTGACTTTTGCTTCAATAATACCTACTGAGAAAAATGCTTAGTTAGTGAAATCTGGTGGTGTTCAGAAATCAACATGCATATGTGTGTGGATATTATTGCCATCATGGGATTTTAAGAATTGTTAACGGCTTCCCTCCTGTACGTTTTCAATCCCCATCAACAGAAATCTAAAGTAACCTATCTAGACAGGACAACATCAAACGTAGACTCAGAAAGGCAAGACACACTTTCATTAACCTGAAAAAAGTGTGAAAATCTGCAGACTCAGCATAAGAGAGAACATCTGGATTTTCAACACTAATGCCAAGTCAGTGCTTCTACATGGTTCAGAAACTGAGTGTGCCAGGGAAAGTATATTTTTGTCAACAGCTCCCTTCGGTCGATACTGAACATCAGATAGCTGGCCAGAAAGCACAGACAGCAAGGAATTCTAGGAGGGAATCAACTGAGAGCTCATTGGCTAACAAATATAGAGAAGGAAACAAAAATGGATTAGGTACATTTTGTGGAAATCGTTGAGTGAGACTGCGCGTTAGCAAAGCGCTCGGGTGGAACCCGAATGGGAGAAGAATTGGGCGTCCGATAGGGGCATGGAAGAGATGAGCGCTTCCGGGAAATAGTGGGGCCAGCTAAGGAGAGATCGCTGGGATAAAGGTGAAGTGGATATATGCTGTTTAAGCCCTATTTTCCACTTGGAACCCAAAGGAATATTAAAAATTAAATAATTGAATGTGTTTCTCCTTTGCAGAGCAATTTTCATATTACGGAACATAACGACTGTTAACTTCAAAATGTATTCGAATTGTTCCTCAGGTTGTACATTTACAGTGAAACGAAAATAAGTTCTACGATGTGTAACGTTTTTGTGAGATAATTGGTAAAATAAATTGGAAGCTGATCTCATGTATTATACTACGTGGGTAAATAACTATGAGAATTTCTTTTTTTAAGTCAGAATTACTTACAACGTATTAACAAGGACGGACTTCAGTGTTTCGGTTGCATTCAAGCCAAAATCAATGCTTTCGAAAGGAAATGGAGCACCAAATATCTCTTTAAAGTCATTGACAAATCTTTTTGCTATTTTATCCAGATTCAAATCAATGAAAACAGGCAGTTTATCGACACCTATACGAATATGAGGACCAGTTTTCAACGAAAGATGGCAGTCATGTGATGGATGTACTTCAGTAGCCCGTAACATTCTGAACTGGGCGCATGTGCTGGACACGCTGATTTTAAAGACTTGATCAGGTGACGGCAAACAAATCTAAAAGATTTTAACAAAGATGTGTACATAATTATACTGTATTGTGCAGAATAAAAATAGAAAGTAAAAGTCCTTTTAAAAACAAACTTATTCTAAACACTTTTTAGAAACTTGAAATAACGGTACTAATAAAAAGGTAACAAACAACTTAGTTAATTGAACACTTTGTCAATGAAAAATTGAAAACATAGTCCAATAGTAGACCTACAATAGGACAGTACTTGGTTCTTGAATAAGATATACTTTAACAAAGCCAAAACATGGGAATTTCACAAGGAATGCTTTAAAGAATTTTGAATTTCTTTGATAGCCCAAATAAGTTTCTCTAAAAAATGTTGACAAGAGGAAGGTCTATTTCCTTATCACCAATAAAATGTGCACCAAACGACATCAGTAAATAATACTTCGTCACTGACAGTTTAAAATGATTAATATGTTAAACTTGGGTACTGTAGTAGTATATAATTTCATAACAATTTGTTAATTAGATATATCACACAGTGAAACAGTATTATTTACTGGATGCCATTTCGAACACAATTTATTGTTCATAATCATACCAATTTTACCAATTATTAAACTTCGAAACTTTCGTTTTGTTTTTCTTTATTTTTTCCTATTCGTCGTAGGGGTAGTAGAATTTCTCAGATTTCGAGACAAGTGTGGAATCATTCCTGATACATGTATTTTCAGTTCACTCGATAAATAAAGCTGTTGAAAGTTTCAGCATGTACTGCTACAGCTGAACTATTCTCCAGATATCTTATCTTACTACGGCCAACTATTCTAGATTTCGCTACGTATGTCTATTCCGCTAGTATGACTCAGCCCGTTCTACTACTTTGATGTATGTATTTGATCTGACAATTATTACGGGGTACTAGATAAACTAAATTGTTTTCTTTTAAAGGCTCCACAGGATCCTTTAACAGACAAAGCTTGTTTCTAATTGAGTTTGTGGGTTTGAATGCCAGTCACTTTTATTCCTACCTTGTTAAGAATTCTCCTTAAGGTTTGCGAGGTTCCTCCTTTGCATGGAGGTACTGCTGATGATTTATATTCTCTGTTGTTGGTGTTGTCATTATTCTGTGCATGTTTGACATGCATATCATCACTAATATTATTATGGCTATATCACAACCATTACTGTTTATTTTTTCTACATTTTCCTACATATTTCCTGATTAATTTATAAGGGTAATTATTAAGTTTTAAAGCCTCTCTTATATGCCTAATTCCCTGTGTTAGATTTTCCTTGGTACTATTTAACTTTTGTAACCTATCACTTAGACATTTCACCCATCATATAATTACCGACATAGGGTGGGATGATCCAAAATCCAAATATCGGTTTGAATGTGTGAATTTTATGTCGATACTAGTGTCTAAATCCCCTTTCTCTTTCCTTTTTATGCTACAACCTAACACTGGAAGCCCCCCTTCCTGACTCTTCAATATATAAGTAAATTGGACTACCTCTAACTTCGAGTTGATGTCTTCGAAAAATCTATCTATATCCTGTGTTCTAAGTACAGTGAATGTGTCATCTACATACCTACAGCAAACTTTGGGATTGGGGCTGATCGCTTCAATCGCTAAGTTTTCCCATTTGTCCATGAATATATCTGCCAAAAACGGGGATATTGGTGAGCCCACAGCAATTCCCTCAGTTTGTTTGTATATTTCCCCTTCAAAATTAATTTCTGTGGGAGTCAGACATAGCTGTACTCGTAGCACCGTCTTCTGGTGGCGCTTTTGTTCCAAGTTCAAGTTCTTGGTCAGAAATGAGTTCGTTTCTGCTAGTCTCATCGTTCTCATATGGAGATTTCTCCTCAGGCAGACTACCTGAGCAGACATACCTAGCAAAATCTAGACTGGTTGACGCTGATAAGATAAGATATCTGGAGAATAGTTCAGCAATAGCACTACATGCAATTACGCACAACCTCACAATAGGACGGGATAAGATGAGTTCTAACAGGGTGAGAGGAGAGATTGATAGCGGCTCTATTTATCGAATCAACTGAAAATACATGTATCAGGAATGATTCGACACCTGTCTCGGAAATCTGGAAAATTCTACTACCCCTACGACGGATAGGAAAGAATAAAGAAAACCATAAAACAAAAGTTTTAAAGTTTAATAATAATGCTGTTTCACTGTGATATTATGTACTATACTCTATCAAGGTGACCGAATTTTATTCCTTAGTTCCTTATGTCAGCTACCCAGTATTCGTACTCTAAGAAAAAAATACAAAGAACACAAATACTGCGTACATTCACTCACCTTGTTACATATCTTGGTTAAATTCCACATCATGGTGCTTTCTACTGTTTGATTGTTTTTCTTAATGAAAGTTGAAGCATGTAAAATTACAGGAGGCATCGATTTGACGTAATTCGGCAATTCGAATTTGACAGGTATTAAAAATCCAGTTTGAATAAAGTCTAAAACTACTTCCTTATCATAATGTAAATCATTAGAGCGTATTTGCAGAATCCTTTGAGAAGTCTCTAGTGTTTGAGATAAACTACTAACCGTCTTCTCAGGATTATTCCAACACCAACCATCAATCATGTTTAATCCTTTGTCTGAAGTATACACAACTTTAATGACATAATCACCTGGAAGTATTCCCTCTACACTGAAGAAGGCTTCATGAGCATTTGTCTGTAAAATAAAAATATCAAGTAAAAAAGGCAATAGTGGATCACACACTTATAATTGTATTACTCATAGTAAATACACAAACACAATTTAAAATAAATGAAATATATTTAGTATTAACATTGTCTGTGCTGAAATTAAGTGATGTGAACCAGTTGAAGGCATACAAAGATGACGAAGAGAAAACAAGATACCACTAATTGTGCACAGCTTAATACAGTGTAGGGTACTGTCAGTTACACCAATAACGTCACTTAAATATTAAGCATTGGAAGCTTTAAACGGAGATTTACTTACACTTTTCCTTCATCAAAATCTACCATACAATATTATTATTATTATTATATCCTTTGATTCCTAGAGGAACAAAAGGCTTCAGCTGCGCGTCTCCATTGCCTTCTGTTTTCTGCCAACTTTTTCACTCCGCTCCAAGTCTGCCCACATGCTTTCATCTCCTCTTCACATGACCTCCTCCAAGTCACCCCACACTGACGACCAACTCGCCGCTTCCCTTTCCGGTTCCACTCGAGCAATGGCTTGTCTAGTGATGTCACCTGATGGTTTCTTCAGCGTATGGCCAATCCATCTCCATTTCTTCCTGTCTATATGTTTCACAATCGGCTCCTTGTTGGTTGGCTCATTGCCAGAGATCCCTGTTGCTGATCTTTTCTGGCCGGCCATCTGATCTTGAGTATTGAGCGAAGACAACTGTTAATGAAGGTCTGTAGTTTGTTGGAGATGCTCTTTATGACGCGCAGTGTAAGTCTCTGATCCGTAAAGTAGCACTGACTTCACATTGGAGTTGAAAGTTCGGATATTATACTCGTTTTGATGGTGAGTGATGTTGACCTCCACACAGACTTAAGAGTGATGAAAGCCTGTCTCACTTTTCCGATTCTGGCTTTGATATCTTCGTCAGTTCCGCCTGTAGATGAAACTATGCTTCCCAGGTAGGTGAAGGAGGTTGTTTCTTTCAGATTCCTCCCACTTATGGTTGTTGTTGTTGCTGTTGACCAGGAATTTTCATCACCTCTGTTTTATCTATGTTCATCTGAAGTCCTATCTTTGATGCTTCTTCTGCCAACTTGTTGCTTTTCACTTGAATATCTTCCAGTTTATGGGAAATCAGACATATATCATCGGCGAAGTCCAGATCCTCCAAGTTTTTTGTGTGAGCCCATTTTATGCCTGTTTCCTCATTGCCCGTTGTCACGCGCATTATCCGATCTACTGCAATCAGGAAAATCATTGGAGGTAGTAGACAGCCTTGCATCACTCCCGTCCTCACTTCGAAGGATTCCGTAAGTTTCCCGTTGTGGATTACTTGTCATGCAGCATTGTCGTATAACTGTTGGATGAGATGTATAATTGTCGATGGGACCCCGTAGTAGCGAAGTAGTTACCAAATCAACTCTCGATCGACGCTGAGCCATCGAAGGCCTTTTCAAAGTCGATGAAGTTGAGATAGAGAGGTGACTGCCATTCCAAGCTTTGTTCAATGATAATCCGTAGTGTGGCGATTTGATCAATACATGACTTGTTTCTCCTGAATCCAGCTTGTTCCGGTCGAAGTTTTTCATCTAGGGCTTGTTTGATTATCTCCACGATGATGCGGCTTAGTATTTTGCTTGGAATGGACAGGAGCATAATTCCACGTCAGTTTTTGCATTGACTTAAGTCTCCTTTCTTTGGTAGTTTGAATAAGTATCCTTTCTTCCAATCCTCAGGTTCCTTGCCCTCTTTCCATACCTTCTCCAGCAGTGGCGTCATCAAGTCCGCTGTTGTCTCTGGGTCCATTTTCAATGCTTCTGCTGGAATTCCATCTGGTCCTGCTGCTTTCCCAGCTTTTAGCATCTTGAATGCATTCAGGACTTCTGATTTCGTCGGGGGGTCGATGTTCACTGGTAGTTCTGCTTCCGTTGTTGGTATTGTCAGGCGCGTTGTAGGTGGCGGTCGATTTAGAAGTCTTTTGAAGTGTTCAGCCCAGTGTTTTTTTTTTTGCTCTACTTCTTTGGTAATACACTTTCCATTGTCATCCTTTATTGGCTTAATCTGTGTTGAACTTTTGCCCGATAGGTGCCTAGTTGTATTCCAATAGTTTACACACAATGATCAGTTTTTGTTTTTGGTAGTATTTCGAGTGAATGATAATAATTTGAAGTTCTATATTTTTTGGGGCAGTCTACGTTGTTCAAGTGTATCGGCACAGAACTTACAGGGTCGTTACAGCAACTATGTTAACAGAAAATAAAGGGAAAAAATAGTCCTAAAAGCACTTTTTGATAACATTCATTTGCAATTATAGAATCTAGAACATAATAGAAAGCACTGTAATCCCGAAACAACGGGAAGTTATGAGCGCAAGCATACAAAGATAACTTGATAATATCCTGTTGGTGAAGTTGAGTGGTTCAAGAACCACTTATAATTAAACGTTAACTTTCAGTTGATAAGTCACAAATCCATACACAATATACTATGTAGTAACACTGTAAATAACGCTTATAGGGTAATCGAGGGAACGGGCGTCACTTCGTGTCACACAAAACAGGAGGAAATCGCTGCAAATTTGCCATTGGTTATGACCTCCAGCTAAGTCTTATTAAGTCTCAAGCCACTGCTTTACACTGATTCGATCCAAGCTAGAGGGTCGTCATGAGCCAATGAATGATAATCCAAAACAACTGCCTTTTATCCCACGGTACCACTTTATCGGCTAACCAATTTACATATTCCACCACTCAGTCCCAGTGCTAACAAACACTGAACCATATGGCAGCCAGTGGGATGACATTCGTAATGCATGTCTAAGTCACCCAAGACGATATCACTTACTAAAAAACAATTTCTACCATATCTAAACGCAGGGTTACATAGTTATAACAACGGACGCAAGCAATCTTAGGGAGACAACGACGATTGGACATACAGAGTAGCTGTACATTCGCGACTTAATGAGGATATTCAAGTGTTGGTTTGTAGGGATTTGATTGGTTCACAGGACTTCATCATGAGCTGACATTAGTTAGAGAACCATTGGAAAACCTGGGAGTACTGGACAGCTGTTTCGTCCTAGTTTGGGACTCTTCATCAGTACACACCCACTGCAAGGGTTCGAACCCAGGACCTTCTGGTTACAAGGCATACCATTAATGAGGATAATTTTCACAGGCGTATGAGCAAGACTGTGCACGCCGAAGTACTGTAAACCCAACGTTTGACAGCCCTACTAACATATTAATAGTGTAGGAAGTGGTTTCAGTTAGTATATACCTCTGGCTTTCACTACACGACTAGTAACTTCTTCCATCACATCACGTGCATTCAAAAAAGGAACTAGATACACGGAATTGCTGATGGTTTATTTACCAGAGTAAGTTCAATTACAGGTTCCTACCGACTTTCCAGAACAAGATAACCATATATATAAATAGTAATTACCAAATTAGTAAGTGCTATTTAGGTAGCTTTCACACATTGGGACTATATTTTGTGCCTATTTAACGTTGAAAAATCTTTCCCCAAGAAGCAGATTTTTTAGAGCTGCCTCCAGAATCTCATCCAACCCTGGTGTCATTTCATTTCAGCCAGTGGGTGATAAGTCATTTACGGTTTTGTATCCAGTACCAAACAATCTGCCTAAAGGGTTACAACCCATTTAATTACGTCAACTTGTTTAAGACGAGGTTTTCAATCACCAACTTGCAAGATAAATCTGGAGCACTCTAAAGCATGATCAGAATTCACACAAGTGTTCCAGAAACGGCAGCCCCACACGCGTTCACATCGTCAGTAGCTAATAGCAATATGATCTAGTTGGATCCAGGCTTGGAGAGCGCCATGTGGCGATGAGGGAGTGACTGTGCTAGAAGTTGGTGTTGGTTTAATGGTAAAAGATGAAAACTTGGTAAAGGAAAGTTTGTTTGCAATTAGATATCTCTATATAGCCAAATTACGTGCGCCTTTAACGCACCAATTGCAGAGATATTCCGTGTTGTGCTACTTCTGACCTTCATATTGTTTTTCTTTGTGTTCCTTTCACGTCTTCCATGTATCTCCGCAACTCTGGATCATTTGCTTTCTCTGACGTCAAATCTATCTCCCTACTATCTAATGTTTTATGTCAATGAACGTCTTTTTGCATACTACTGATAAATCTTATCAGTAGAACACGCTACACTAATTAGAAACAGTTGTGATATGCACAAAGCTGCAAAAGACAGTCTTCACTACTTGACCGGGGACCATATAGTCCTAATAGACCATCTAAACAACTCTCCACCGAGACTAGGCATTTGATAGGCGCTTTCAAGTCCCCAGATAGTACAACAATGTCTGCTGAACGCGTGTGCTTGAGGTGTTTACTCAGGTGATGTTACAACTCTTTCTTAAATGAATCTGAACTGTAGTCCTTGGGTGCACAGACAGAGACAATTGGTTTGCTTAGTACTCTAAGATTGCCTAACCTAACAACAGATAAACACAAACAGCACTGTCAATGAGGATACAGTAGGCAACAGTTAAGCTTCGTTCCTAGCTCTTGGTGTGATACGGGAACCAGTTAGGCTGGATGCCAACACCAAAGGGTCTCAAGATAAGCGCCAATGAGACAAAACGGGCAGAGCCTGCAGATGGATATATTAAGAGCACTTGGTTGAGACCTATTTAGTGGGTCTCTGAGATGCAACAGACGTTAACAGAGAGGCTTTTGAAGGTTCTAGCTAAACTTGGCAGTCGTCCAACTAGCATTAATGTGAGAACGCTGCAAATGGCAAGCCTGAAAGCGATGTATGATGTCAGAGTAATTGTGTTAGATAATAGCACTGGAGGCTAGCTTTCTGATATTAACTGACTAGTAACTAGAAACGGTGCAAAGAGATTGAAATTACAAACAATAACGGACGGCTAACGAAAGCAAAGGTACCAGAAAAAGTAAAGATAATTTGAAAACATAGTTTATATATTGTAATGATGGATCGAATGAATGGATATAATAGTGTAAACATTAGACAAATCGTCCTGAGTTAAATTTTCCATTTGTGTGTGGTTTTGTTTTGTGTGAGGGTGGCGAAACTGAAACAAGATCTATGACGCCGTGAAGCTTCATTGATTGATGTGGTTAGTAAAAAATGTGTTACGCATGCAGACATGGCTTTCACAGACAAACGTCATTTAGAGAAGACGTATGGGTGTTCAAAACAAAACTGGAAATCAGTCCATGAAGTCACCGACTATTTGTTTGGGTGGTGTAAGAAGGTGTAGGTTGCTTACCTGAAAAATTTCAACTAGCTTGACTGCCGAAAGCTAAACACACTATAAAACTAAGTCATTAATATAAGGTTAATCCTTGCAACACTGCATTCCAAAACATGAAATATTGTGATTGCTGAAATTAAAACAAGACATATAAGCCTCTGAAATCAGAAAACTACTCTGTAAAGTTCATAATTAAAACCAAATCAAACAATTACTATGATCAGCTACAAATATTAAAACAGCTAGACAGAGAACTTACTTTGCTTGGAATGAATTCGTACAATTTCAGCTCATCTTTAGAATGTAACGAAGTGAACTGAGCGTAAAATGGTGTTTGATAAAATGCACATTTCTTTAGGCATTTTAATCTACCATATAACTTAGCTCGGAACTGTGAGAAAGTTATACTGTCAACTGGAGAACCAGTTAGATCAACCTAGAGAGAGAAAAAAAGGAATATTAGTTTCCTAGTTGAGTCTTCAAATAAAATGAAAACTTGGTGCAAGGTTATTTAGAGAAAAATAGTACAAAAGTACAATTTAGCCAATTGACCAAAGTGCAGAGGGAAGAAAACGAATCTCGGTAATGATGAAAATATCAACGAACTTACAGTGCATCCAAAAAAGTACTTTGCATTTAATCAGAATTTTTTGTATTCTGAAGGGAGTACATGGGACACCAAGACCTGCACAGAATTCAGTTGTGCATCAAATGTAATCATGATTACGGCAGTAAATTTCGAGGCTTAACGACGAACTCATTTCTACTGCTCTCGTTTTGTATATGAAATATTGATGTGTCCTTTCGGTGTATTACTTACATCCCAATATATAACTGGGAAAAAAGTGATGATGAAAATGTTTATGATACGCTATGCGATCACGTTGTTGGAAAAGTGGATAACTTTTTTTGCAAAATCATAATACACATTTTTACAGACATATGTTGATTACCGTAGCTTCGTAAATCTCGACTATAGAAGTTTAACGATTAGGAAGCGTACACTCACTTTAAATATACGAAATATGCTGAACATACTAATGGAAACATTCAGACGGGACGTAACTAGATTATTTAAAACAGGACAACATGACTGAGAAATAATAACGGAGTGGAAGACAAATCATAAAATCATGGTTTAACACATCACTTTAACAAACCTTTATTTCTGATGGGGTAAACTGTAATACATCATGGGATTGCCGATTTGTTCCCGACAGTGAAACATCTGGATGCAATGAATACAGTCCAGGCTTTAAGAAAGTGCAGAATTTAAATTTTCCACTTTCCCGACTCGCTTCAACGCGACTGACAAGGGAGTTGTTTTCAATACTCCGAACATCGACATACACTTCAGGCTGTGAAAATAAAGTACAAACGCCCTGCAGTTTATTCATTTATTACAATAATAATAATAATAATCCCAGTACAAATAAACATATTCATAATCGCAGACTGTACAAGAAGTGACTGAGATGGTTAAATTGCTTTACTTTAAGAATTGAGTAGTTATTATTATAGGAGTGAACAACTCTAACAATGAGACGGTTATCAGAGATATTTGTTCGCACAAAGACAGCAAATTGACTATTTACAACTTGCCAGGACCATGTATTATTATTATTGTATCCTTTAGTTCCTAGAGGAACATAGGGCTTCAGCTGCGCACCTCCATTGACTTCGGTTTTCTGACAACTTTTTCAACCTGCTCCAGGTCTATCCACATGCTTTCATCTCCTCCTCGCATGACCTCCTCCAAGTCACCCTTGGACGACCAACTCGCCGCCTCCCTTTCGGGTTCCACTCAAGGGCTTGTCTAGTGATGTCACTTGATGGTTTCCTCAGCGTATGGCCAATCCATCTCCATTTCTTTCTGCCTATTTGTTTCACAATCGGTTCCCGATGGGTTGGTTCGCTCCCAGAGATCCCTGTTGCTGATATTTTCTGGCCATCTGATCTTGAGTATTGAGCGGAGACAGTTGTTAATGAAGGTTTGAAGTTTGTTTGAGATGCTCTTTATGACTCGCCAAGTCTCTGATCCGTATAGTAGCACTGACTTCACATTGGAGTTGAAAATCCGGATCTTATTTTTGATGCTGTAACCATGTAACCAAGCATGAATATTGAGAAATATAATGAGATATAATTCCAAGTGAACATGAATGGAAAATAGGTGAAATTAGCAATGAGTTGCGCCAAACAAATAAAGATAACTTTAATTTGGTGTTGAGCACCTGCTTGTATTACATAAAATATTTAAGATAATATTTTGACAATGATCGATTGTTACCTTTAAATTTAGGGCTGTTTCAGCAGTTATCAAACTGCCACACAGAGAAACCTTATCAGGACGTAATTCGGGAAGAGATTCAAGCGAAGGATTCAAATTGATTGAACGTGTTTCGAACAGAACATTTTTGACGTCAACCTACAAAGAGAAATGTAGATAAAAAAAGGCAAACTTTCAATTTACTTACAGATCTGTAATTCAAGGATGTAATTTATTTTCAGAATAGAGTATAAAATGGTTAAGACTTGAGATTATTTGAGTTTTCTGTTACCACAAAGAACCAACTACATGAGCTGGCATAAAACAGATTCGTCGTTGCTCTTGACAGCATGACTGACGAAGTCCCATGAACTAGAATGAGATTCATGCGGTGTAGAAGTGTTTCAGAAACCACGTACTAACCCATAACTTTGATAACTGGAAGAAGCGGGATTACGAAAGTTCCTGAACAATATATAACGTATACAGCTACCATGTGAGAGATTATGCACGTCTATATAACCACAAGTGCAGTAAAAGTTTTATCAACATTTACTCTAAATATTTGTAACTTACGTGAAAACTGTATTCTCCTGGAACCAAATCTTCTAGCTGATAATAACCATTAGCATCAGATAATACAGATTTTTGTGACTGACCGGTAACTGTAACCTAATAAAATAAAATATTCTTTATCCACAAGAATACGTAACTTTATGCCTATGTATACAAACCACTAATGCAATTCACTCACCTAGTATTTTTTATTTACTGGGATATGTAAGACATAGCCCATGATAAATGAAGAACAGCTAGTTTCATACTCGAAGTATATATATATATATATATTTATATATATATATATACCTTTGTCATTTTAATTTTGATTAATTTCGCTAAAGTTCGAACCCGCTTTCCAAACGAAACGTTGGAATTAGTTATTTCAATTTCGCTGCAATTGTACAAATATAATTTCGACAAGAGTGTTGACATAAAGCCACCATGTGAAACCAACTTATATGCACCTCAGTCAAAATAAAGTGAAAAAACTACACAGTTTAAAACCATACGGACTGGAAACTCCTACCCAATACTATGTGATGCTTAGCTAACAAACAAAACATTTTCGCTTTTAAAATTTAGATATGTTTATAGTCAATAATATATATTTATATATATCGACGTCAGAACACCATCGTTTAGATGGAATTTTGTAAAGCATTTTGCGTTTATTAAGGGTAAATGGGAACCAATGAATGATAGATTTCTCCTGAGATTTATGAATGCAATGAAGGAAATGTCTTACACCAACAATCATTAACAATGAATTTCTTATTTCTTATAAAAAGAATGACCGAAAAATTACTGTAATAAAAGAAGTAAACTAACTTTGGCTGATGGAATGGGAGTGCCATTGAACCATAAAATACGCCCCGATTTAAGCTTAAAGGTTTGTAAGGTGAATGTATGCGGCCCAAGATCCACATCTGTATGTTCCATGGTTACAGGGTAGAATTTTGGAGTGAATGAAAAGGTCGTACTGAGCTTTTTAGGTGAATACATGGCAATAAGAACGTAATTGCCACCTGGCAGACGATCAAACGTAAAGTAGCCATCCGCGTCAGTTGAAGACTAAATTTAAAAGAAAGTAGTTTTATTAATCAACATAACCAGAACATGGTAAGAAAATTCCAAATAAGTGAATCTTTATCACTCATATTCAAGTTCAGCTTTTCTACTTGTGGAAACATGATTGTTTTTCGACACCAGTACTTTTAATTAATACAATGAAAAAGCGGGGTGGAGAATATAAGTAGATAAGCTTGTATTTACTGAACACTACTACATATTTAGTCTTACCTCTTGTGATAGGAAGAAATTATGATGCGCTTCACCAAGCATATCAACCATCAAGGAAGAAGTCAACTCATCAGGATTAATAGATGTATTCAACGTAGTTTTTTCTTTATCACAAAGGAGAAAGACTCTTGCACTGGCAATGGGTTTTTTGCCAAAATCCACTACACGTCCACGAAGAAAGTGTCCCTAGGTAAAGAAAATCCGAGTTAGTATGAGCAGATTTTGATCAATCAGAAGACGTCAATTAAAATAAAACCTTTAGTACTTTCAACCCTTTTCTTTAAGTTAGAACCAGAGTACGTTTATACACACTAGGTAACAATTATGTTAGTACTATGACAAATTTCATAACGAACTAACAAAAATACAAATAAAAACTATAGAACCTTCGTTGCTTCCTAACCATAATCTAATACTAAAATGTACCACATTTCTCTTGCGAGCATAACGTGTATTAAACTTGTGAACCCTTCGTTAGTGTAACATATATTCCAAATAATATATATATATTTAATCGGACAATCACTAATTCGTACTAGTCAATATATTTTCTATCATTACAGTAAAGGAAGGCTAACAAAAGCACGAATTAATAAATAATCAATTATTCTGTGCCTTTGTAACGATACAATTCAATGATAATTTATTTGTGGTACGACGACAGTGAAACAGTATTAACTAGTGAAATTCAGAAGATATGAACGGGTGAAATCAATTTCCATACCCAAATTATATAACTTTATTGATTCTTTCCCTGACTGAACTGCTTTTCACCACTAAGGTGTCTACAATATGACACGGATGCATCTACATCATTGTGGTCTCCGAATTTAAAAAAATGTTTTTATTTTAACTCATCAGAACATAAGCTGGATAAATTGTAGGTTAGTTTCACAATTTAACCCTACTCCATTAGATATACAGCATTTAGCAACGTCTATGGCGGTAGAGCACGTTGACCGCTTCACTTATCTGTGAAGTTGCGTCAGCCCCAACGGGTTGGTCTCTGACGAAGTCTCAGCACGGACACAGATGGCTAGTTTCGCATATGCCAGTTTACACTGTCTCTGGCGTAGACGTGATATCCGGCTGGTTGTCGACCAAAGGACGGGTATACTGCTCATCAGTCCGCTCCGTCCTCCTTTATGGCTGTGAGCGAGACATGGCCATTGAGAGTGGAAGACATGAAAAGATTAGCTGTCTTGGATCATAGGTGCCTGCGCTCTATCTCCCGTGTGAAGTGGTATAATAAGGTGAGCAGTATTGAGGTTAGGCGTCGAGTGCTAGGTAAGGAGAGGTAATCAATCGACGAGGCTGTGAAATTACATTGACTGAGATGGTTATGACATGTGTTATGTATGCCTAGTCATCGCCTTCCTCGACCGATGGGCAATGTTGGCTGATATAGGGTCAGGCTGGAAAAGAGCTAGCGGCGATCAAACCAAAACATGGCACCAGTCAGTGAAATCCACAGCAGTTAGTTTAAGCCAGTCACGTAGGAAGGTGTAGACTTCCTGGTTGGGGTCCTCGGGACGATAGAAACCAATGGTTGGAAACAATTGGTGATATGGCTCAAAATCGTTCTTGATGGCGCTGATGCATACACTCCTTGTGAATTATGATTTCCAATGAAACTTTTGTTCTTCGTTATTACTATTCCTTTGTCTCACGCCTCTGTTTACTGTCTCTAATATGCATTTCTTCTACTTTCTTTTCCTGCTTTGTGTGCTACATGGAATGTGGCGACTTGAACTTCCGCACATATGTGCAAAGTCCTATGTCGAAAATAGAGAGACATACAGACTGAAGGCGCCTTCTGAGTCAAGTAACTTCATCATACAGCGTCCACTTATTAAGGACGAAATCAACACCATTAGGAAGATTAAGTATAGGAATCTTTTCACCAGTAGTTTAGTAGCTTCTTCCGGCATTGCATGCTATCCGACTGCAAACAAGATACCTGTTGTACTACTTGCCTTCCAGCCAATGGGTCTTAGGTCCGAAATACTATTAACCTAGTTCAAGTTTACGCAGAGCATATTATCATGGACCTTCATACAACAAGTGTGGCTCAGCCTGTTACACGAAGAATATGTTCGAAGTTACTGTGCTCTAATAAGCTATTTGAACTTTAAGAATTTTTTTCTGGAGAAGCCTTTGATAAGCTGTTGGAACACGCATGGTAAAATTTCTTTTTTTCAGCTTGGTGTGTCTGACTGTACAGATATAAAACTGGACACAGAGATGCCTGCAACTCTGATTCCGTCTTATGAACCAACAAGTAATACTTGGATCTAAAAATTTAGTACCATTATAAGATTTTCTGCTATCCATTAATCAGATTTAGAAGTAACATAGATGGGGATACAAAAAAGGAACGACGCATTATCTGGTCAACTAAACGGCAATGTGTGGAATAATTTATGAAAGTACCTAGAAAATACTCATTTGGAAAACTCACAAGTAGAACTATTGGCTCTGAAAGGGTAACACTATCAGACAGGACATTGACGACAATGGATGCTCTAGTATGATCTTTTTCAGTTTGATCCTGATTGCTGACTGTCAAAGAGTAGCTACCGGGAGACACTGGAGAGATCATAAAATATCCCTGACTTTGAGTACTGTTTTGAGCTATCGGCTTGTGAGATGTTAATTCACTAATCCTAACGGATAAGCCTGGAGGACCGGTCTGCATTCCGGAAGTTGTTACCTAGATGAATTTTATTTTACAAGATAGAATAGTAACTTACCTGGCCAAAGATCGAAAACCCAACAACACTAAAATCAAAATCTTTAGAACAAGCCTTGGGGTCCTTGTGAAGATCCAGAAGATAACCGTCAGATGGTTCTATGTACCAGCCTTTAGGTGTAGTTAATTTAATCCTGTAAACACCCTCATCATATAAGGGAACGGAATAAGCTCCGTTAGGAAGAACGTCTGTCACATCTTTTAATGTAGAAGTCGTCTCTGAAAACAAACTAATCTTCAATTTCCCGAAGTCAAGCCTTGAGTTTGACTGAGCTTCTTTCCAACGTATAAAGCCACCACAACCAACGACAGTCTCTGAGTGTATACCTAACACTCTTGAAGACAAGAATAAAAGTGGCACAAGCAAAATTAAAATTTTCCTGTGAAATTGAGAGAACAAAGGAGAAACCATCAGGTGCAGGTTTAAAAGTATAATATTTAGTCAAATGTACATCGAAAATCATGGTCACAAAGAAGTTTAAGTTTGGTGAGCATATGGTCAGTTCATGGTTTAAGCAACTAAAATGCATAGTTTAAGGTCAGCTACAAGTGACATTGACATATGCCTTATTTTCCCTTACATCCGAAAAACGATCATTCATATATGCCCTATGATTAAGAATATAGTTCGGGCACTGTGAGGACACAATTTCAAAAAGTAACTAACGTAATAATCATTTATTGGTGATTCGAAAACTATATATGCACTATAGCCACATCAAAACACATTTTTCAGCTAATCGACTCAGTGAAGATCCACTATTTCATCGGCCGACCTGCTCCATTTAAATACGTCTCAGTATCGCTTACTAAGTAGCGCGAAAACACCTGCAGTATTTACATATTCGCTTACTTATATACCTACGATGCTATTTAACTTTACGATATCTCGCCACATAATGGCGATGTTATTCGAATTATAAATAATGAAACTTTGATATCGGAAGATACACATACCCAATTACTGTCAAAACTTTTGGTTCAGGATTGGATAAATCCGAGTGATTAGGATGGGAATCAGGTGTTATTAATAAAATAAAGCGCTCAATTAGATGTTAGGCGATTCAACACATATTCCAACTACTTTCCCAAAAGATTCTATACTAAACGGTTATGTAATCTGAAATTTTCGATGTGGCAAGCTTTATTGTTTTATTAAGGCTAACAGTTTCCATGAAAAACTCAGAAAGACACTGACACAAACCGTTTAATTGTGTTGACGTCACAAAACAAACTGGTCTACGAATGACTGCAAATATTTACGGTGATATACTGTTCTCACGTCTTACTTCAATGAACATGGTTCTTATTGCATGTGCAACTAGAGACATGTTTCTCCAGTTTCCAACAATAAATGCATGCTGAAAATTCAGCATAACTAGCAAACAGAGGGATTATTCGCTATGATGAAAATATGTTAACACTTTAGACTGATTTGCAATTAACGATCATCTGGTTTAGACCCTGAAATCAGATAATCAACTGTTTCAGAACTTCGGTGACGGACAGTTTTATTTGTACAACCAGGAGTTATTAACAATTCAAAACCATACTGCATGATGGCGGAAGACTTTGGATTACAGAAACGATACTGCAAAGGTAAATAATCACAACACAGAAGCTGCTGTGATAGTACACGGGAGAAGCTATTTGGGGTTTATTAACTTCATTGTCGGTGGTAACACTGTCGTCAGGTGACCCATCCGCGGTAGCAGTAGTACCGAAGTGCCACGGATCGGTAATTGACTCCTGAGTCAATCTTCTTAATACATAACCTGGCCTTACTGCGTGGGATTACTTGGTAAAGGTTCGAAAGTAGTATCCACAACCTGTGATAAGACTAACGTTTTAAACTAGGTGTTGAAGCAGCTAGGAGTTGGACACCATCTTCAACGCAAAGTTTTTTCAACAGCAATATGTATAGTTAACACCAATAGAAACAGTCTGATCGACTACGCTTCATACTATAACTGGATACCAAACAAGATTAAACTATAATGGCCAAAGCTACAGTGACCTTGAACGACCAGCCAAAGTTCGGAAGCAAAAAGGTTACATAACCGTTGAAAATTAACATAAAATATACTGAAAATATGGTAGTACACTGTATATCTGTAGCCTATGTATCTTAGGAATGCCTCCCAGTCAATATGCAGTTGATCTATGGACAAATAATACCCTGCGCGATATACCAAATCATCCAAGTGACTACAGGTCATGGCACTTTGAGATCTACTGAAATTTATGGCACTATTCCCCAACCTACTCCTAGCCTAACCTTAATCTAAAAAAGGCGTAACCCCACCTATATGTTTACAAATATATATATATACATATATATATATATATCTTCATATATATTTGCAGAAAAAACCTAGTATATGAGTATAATACTGTATCTATCTTCTCCAAGTTCAAAACGAAAGAAATAACGTTTCATACTGTTCTCTGAGTCTAATCGGCTCTTAGATGTCAGTTTTAAAAGACCCTGACTTTGGCTTTTAACTTCGTCAAATTCCATTCTCCTTACAGTAGCTAGGTCGAACCAACATTTATTTAGCTGCCAACCCCTTAAAGAAAGAAGTCTAAAAGCCTTCGTTTATGCTGTGAGAATAAGAAGCATTATAATCGACCAATAAGAGGCACTACAACCCACCATAAATCTGCCATCTGCAGTTGACCGTGCGGCACCGCAGAGTTAAAACGACGCGGTGTCGGCACAATAAATTTATTCTCTGCAACTTATCTGTTGGACATCTATTTTTTCTATGTTAAACTGTTTTCACCTAAAAAACGACTTTTTGCAACCTTTTTGCAGCTCCGAGTTTTACGAACAGTAACCTTCTATCTGGAACGGATATATTCTAAGCAAAACGTCACCTAGCTCTAATGTCTATATTATTTAAATGAGTGATCTTAATATGTAAGGGCACACGATAAGTACTAAACTTTGTTATCATGACTTGGAGTCAAAGAGTTAAAGAAATGGAAGCCATTTTACGTCATGGCTATGTTAATTCACACTGTCTAGATCGCTCCCCAAATACATTTCGATATCAATTCAGAATGAAAATACAGAGTTTATGTCGACATATTTCTTAGATTTCATTTGCCTAGTCGATATTAATATTTTTTTATATTTCAGGAAAGTTAAGAGTTACCAGTGATTGAGTAGACTGTATCATGATTGAGATGAAGCAGTGCACCTACATAATGGTGGACCGACTATAGAAACACACCTACAGTTGTTGACAGTTGTAGTGGGGATGAAGTATTTCCCCCATTTGGTAAACATTATTGCTGGTTGTGGACAATCGTAAACCAACTTGCTGGAAGTGACTGCAATACTACTTGGAAGTAGCGTCACCGAAAACAGTAACACTAACACTACATTGCCGCCTCCTGAAGATATATAATTGCGTAATTTGACAGAGAGCTTATACTAATCCAGGTTGATAAATCCACAACTGTGCTACCAACAGTGCCAGCAGTAGCAACACCCATCCACACAAAATTTTCTAATGAATTTATAAATTTGTCATATAAAGTAAGGTTAGTAAGCAAATCCCACTTGACTTGGTACACATTAATGTCCCACATATAATCTTGTGTTCATGCGAAAGAATATATGTATTATAATAATCTACTTTATTCTAAAAACAGTGCTTATAAAACAGAGTTGAGTTCCCAGCATTTGTCACAATATTACATCTGATTTATTATAAATATAAATATAATTAAAACAAAATGAAACAGGAATTTGTCCACATTTTTCGATATAAAGTCATAATTATTCGAAGCACAAATCAGTCTTCAATTTACTGGTGCTAAGTTCTGTGCAGATGCATCAGATTCGTACTTCCAAAATGAAAAAATACTCGCTAGCAATCAATTATGTTGTCGATCTTACTATTTTTGAGCTGTATTGTGATCAGTGTGCTTAAATAGTAAATAAACTTCCTGTTGCCTTATTTCATGCTAATAGCTTGCCTGTGTATCAGTAACGGTCCATTTGTTTAGTTTATTTGTGTGATAAGTGAGGTTCAATTAAATTATGAACTGACTGAAGGACGTCTCATATGATACCACACCAAAAGTAGGGCTTCATGGGCACTCAATCTTAAGTATCCAGCTTGGTGGCTTTACTGAAACTGTCTGGATAAAAGAGTAAAATTAAATATCTTAACCACCAGGCCAGCTATGGAGTCACTCAAGGTTGATCGCGCGTGGTGGTTGATATTCATTACTGTGACTTTTATGTGAGGGTCTTGGATGAAATGTTATTCGTTACTTATGCAGAACTATGTGTACTTACGTAAGGTTACTGTCGAAACTCCTCTTGTAGCATTAATTAGGGAAAAGTACCTCTTTTCGCCTGGCAAATCACATTATAATATAAAAAATGGTCAAGAATATTCGACAAACTTAAAGAGGGCAAAACAGTGCTGGTTCACTGCCGTCTAACCAGAACCTACGCATGTTTGGTAGAAGATTCCACTGGCTTTCTTCATTTGATGGGTGACCCCTCTTTAAAACCGCCACCACTGTCAGGTTTTTGAGTATAGGTTTAAAGCGGAAAAATACTTCGTACAAAAACCATTGAGGAATTTGTTTGGTTTGTTGCCAGTATGCAGGAGGAGACGATACAGAATATTCGCATGGTCCGTCGGAAGCAACAGGTCAGTGACAACACTTCCATGAGGGAAATACCCTCAACCCTAACCAACATTTAAGTCAAATATATCAAAGCTAAGCTGTTTCACAGCCAACACATCTTTCACTTGAAAATCACTGTTAAGGGCCGATAAGAAAACATTTGTTTCTGTTCTAATTCAAACCAAGGATGAGCCCATTATAAGTTATTTAAATTAATCCCAGCGTGTTAAGAAAATCAAAACAAGATTTTTCTGAACGTTTCGCCATGTAAGCCACAGCTTCTTCAGCAGATTTATAATTAATCATCAGAATATATAGTCAAAAATTTTTTCACATAAAATGAAGTCAGTTTATTTGAAGGTCATTTGTCCATGGACATTTTTTATACCAATAGAAGTATGTAAGCAATCCTAACATATATTTGTAATGACTAATGTCAAATTGTTGTTGTGTTACTCTCCTATGGTTGATCTGTAAAGATTAGATTTATATGCGTGTGTGTTTATGTATGTTATTTGTCATGTGGAAAATGCGTGAATTCATGTGTGATAAACGTGTCACCACATGTTTTAAAGGTCATGGAGGTCAAGGATGAGCCCTCTGATTTTCTTTTCATAAATCAGAACAGAAACCATCGGAACTGCGGCTGTCGGCCGCCAGCCTGTTCATTACCCAAATGAACACTCACTGAAATAGGCAGTATTATAAACACCCGTGATTTATTCCCATTATTGACATATAGTTTCCTTTAATATATATCTATGTCCATTATTAACACGGGTGTGTAGGTTAAGTCTGAAATGCTTGAAATATCCTGTTATTCTAAATGGTGTGAATTTTCAGTCAAGATACCGACATGGAATTCCAGATACTAATACACGCCTTTTCGTGTCTGTAATAATCTAATTCTGGTAACCTCCTGCACGCAGAATAGGAGTTATTCCAGCTGCATAGGTCTTCAACTTAACCTGCCTTGTCATTCAAAACTGACGTAATGCTAAGTCAATCGTATCAGGACTAGACGAAATTGACCATTAGCAGCTTGAGACATCTCGATGTTGTAAAGGTAGGCGATTCCCCAGAACTATTGTCCACGGCATTGGTCACTGAATATTATATGCTGTCCCTCATTGAGTCAACTTGTTTAGCTGAAGGCTTCCGGTCAAGCATCCATACCATATGGCACGCCGTCGTGTTGCGTTCGTTCGTTCGCGCACGGTCCTTTGCTAATTAAGCAATCATCTCGCACTCTGATTTGGTCACGAAATATAGTTCATAATGTGGACGATCAATTCTAGTGTTTTGCTTTGCCGTTAGCTTACGCGGAACGAATACTATAGAAGTTGTGTGTATAAGATCTTGCGTCAGTATACTTCGTATTATCCGTGAACGTCAGCACCATCAGCCTCTAAAATACCTTCGTGAGACGATGAGAATTTTCAATAAAAAATTATACCCTTAGACAGAGTGTCTTCACCGCCTTGTTATCTTCTGTCACTTTGCATTTACACTCAGTATCCGACCGAATAAGCCATAGCTGCCCCACTGTTCCAAATTTTCAGGTAACTGTAGAACCGGATGTGGTGATAATAAAGCATGTCCCAAAAGGCCTACATTAAAGACAGGTTAAGGTTCGGTTCACTAACTCAATCTCCCATATTACGTTAGGTTAGGGAATGTTCCGCATCAGGGTTTGGAAACCTGGATTAATGCATATATAGTATGTGGTTTAATTACTCTAATAATACTCCAATGCAAAACTGAGGGACATTTTTTTCACACATCAAAGAAGAGTAATTTGTGCAACAGTTTCATGTTTTTAATTATCATTTTAGTAAACAAATGTTTTCTAAACTTTACTGCCTGTTCAGTCCGAAATTATTCCTTCCTTCTTTGTTGTAAGGATATTCATTTGCACTGGTGTATTCGGGGTAGGCTTAATCAACATTACATCAGAAATCGTATATGGTGACAAACTTTTGAAATGGATCGAGTTACCAAACTGAACATTCCAATATCACCGTTTCTTTTAAAAGAATTTCGGCTATATTTTTTCCCGAAATAGCTGCGTAAATTAGTCAGAGAGTAAGAACATTTTGATATGGAGAGACTAAACGGAAAATCTTTTCATAGCTCATGTGAATTTAGTTCAGCCCACTAAATATAATGAACTGGGATTTAGCTTCATTGATACGCACAAAAGTAAATGTCCACGTAAATTTAAGTCCAACAAACTTTGCAAGTAATCAATGAATGATAACGTCATGTGGGTACGTATGTAGAAAATGTCAAGATGACGTTTGGATGGGGAAAGAAATGCACGACAAGGCGTCCGCCAAAGTGTTGTTTACTCCAGATACACTGCGAATAACCGATGCAAACTGTGAAACGTAGTACAGTTGTCGTGAGTCCCTCAGCGGATACTTATTCAACACCCAGTTCAAAGAGCATGTAAACCATATGTGGCCGGGGAAAATTATGAACTCACAACCCTACAATGAACGTTGGCATTGGTGTATAGCACAGTACATAGGCAGAAGTTCTCTGCCGGATGTGCTGTACTTTGTTTTATCAGTTGTAGACGCCTTGTGAAGAAGGTGAGCGGTTACTATGTTTTGTTGACTAGTTGTTGCAAAATTGCGCAAACCTCAGTGTCTGATGCCTCAACAAAGGTACTTAAGGGTGCCACTGGATCTTGGTGCGTAAGTAGGGTGGCATTCGCAACAGCTTTTTTAACTTGAACGAAACCATTTCCAGCTGACGCGTCAAGTTCGATGAACTTCTCAAGCTTACTATAATTCTGAATTAAATCTCAGTAATTCTGAAATAATTCTAGCATCCTATAGTGAGTAAATTCTGAATTTGTTCTGAAATGAATTGTTTAATGGCACAGACTAGAACTCAGTGCTAGTTTTCAGCATGACTAGCGCTAATTCAGCACCGTATTCTTTTTTTAGCATTGTCAGGAGTAGATCATAACCTACTGGGTTTGCTTACCAGCTTTATTTCAGCCC